GATTTTTATTTTCTCACAGGTTTCTTCTATGCAATTTCCTCAATTTCTCAAATTCTCGCTAATGTACTTACTGTATGTAGATCTAAGCTCTTCATCTCTCATTAATTCTCTAGTGTTTATGTATTTTTAATTAGGCGGCTTTTTAACCTTTGCCAATCGAAGCCTTACATTCGCGATAAGGGGCTGTTGTCAGACGAAATGTCAGCACCAGCGTAAGCGGTCACTCTTTTATATAGTAGAAATCTTTTGTTTATCAAGATTTAGTCAATTTGATTTCGTATCATATGACCTGGACGATCTCCTAGTCAATAAAAATGTATAATGTTAATATTATTAAAGAAAAAGATCCTTATATAGTTTTTACTTTGTTCTAGGTAAGAATACTCTGTCTCCAGTATAATCAGCCTCAACCTAAAGTAAGTCCTAAAATAAAGACAGATTACACCTATTTTTAATTTAGGTAAAACTAAACATTTGATATTATATCTATATTGAGTGATATGAAATCCGAACACATTATAAATTATCATGTATTAATGTAATTACAAAACGATCTTTGAAACAACTAACATGGGTAAGGTTACTCCTCCCGAAGTGCTCTTAAAGTTAGAGGAGGATGCTCTAATTAAGACTTATCATATTCCAAACGTGTTCAGTTGGAAATAAATCTGTGGATTTTGAAGGCCAGGACAAAATTAACTTCAGCCTGTAGAAAGCCTATGGTGACTTTTTCAACGTGTGGACTTGCGTCATCCTAGTGTATATTTTTTCTATATATCGCTGAGCTGTTATATTTCCTCTGAAAAAGGTAAGAGATGATCTAAACATGCATCCCTAAACAGAATCAAGATTTATCAATAAAGACAATCTCATTTCATTTCTGAATCCAAGCAATTGTTATCTGAACTATTCAAGATAAGCTGAGTTCTAGCTGCAAGCTGACGTATTTCTCTTGGCAAGTATTTTGTATGTACTATTACTTCTATTCTAGTCCACTAAAAGTTCGTGGGCGAGTTGTTTTAAAAGTTAAAGAAGAGCTGATCAATTGTATCAACCCCAGACTTTGTCGAATTTCAAAAAGTAATGATTTCTGGTTTATTTTTCTCACCACAATCTTTATTAACTGGTTCATCGTAAGGTAATGTCGACAATAAGATTGCTTGTTTATTTTTTTTTGGGCGTAGGAGACGATAGTCATGTTCTCTTTATCTTATATTTCGCTTTGATATGAACAGTAACTCGCAAAGTCTATTTACTACTTCGGAAGCAGTATTGTCTACAGAAAATGGGCCATGGTTCTGTTTAGCACAATAAATTTCCATGTTATGTGTAAAAAGATCTCGAATCAGGTAAAGAGAATAAATTCTTTATTGCGCAACATGCAGGCTTGCTGAGAATACTGTTCGATAGTATAGTATTTTTGACAGTTTTTCACAACTATTTGGAATATTTCCCTGACTAGAGCAATTTATCCTCAAGCTTACGCTTTTTGTCTTGTTTGTATATCACCCAATCAAATAGAGCGCGATAACAATCGAAATTGTTTTAAAGCCACTGTAAAGCCATCTACACGTAAATTCTTCCCAACAACAATAAACAACCAATTCTTCTTCTTTAAGTTCCATCTTCTATCAAACTTTAAATATCATCATGTCTATGCGGACCCTGTTGGCAGCCGCTCTAAATAGTTCGGCACTACTGCATTCAAACGAATCTTTGCCTTTCCATCACATGTCCTAAGTACTCAGGTTTTCTTCTTTTACTAGTCAATAAGTTTAACAAATGATACATGTGTTATTTCAATACGTGTCTTAATTTCTTTGGTGTGGTCTACATTTGCTGTCATCCATGTGTCCAAAGTATTTGTAGGTATTCACACTCTCAATTACTGTATCCTCTACAATCAACTGGATGTTTGCATCTGATGATTTAGTCATGATCATGCATTTAGTGTTCGTCAAATTTATATTTAGTCCTGATTCATAACAGCATTCATTAAGGCGTTGCGTTATGTTCTGTAAATCATTGTTTTTATACTGTATCTTCTGCAAAACGCAAGTTATCCTAACTTTGCTATTCATAGATATACCTTCTATTGCATCTAAGAACGCTTCTTTAAATACTGCTTTACTGTAGATATTAAAGAGTAGTGGTGACAGCACGCAACCCTGGCGGACTCCTCTTTGTATTTTGATATCTCGGGTGTTCTGATTCTTATCCCTTACCTTGGAAATTTGGTTCCAATATAAATGAGAAATAATTTTTATATCAAGACTGTCAATATTTTTTCATTTTAATATGCTTGTGTAAAGAATAGATTAAAGCTTAACAAGTGTATACTTTATTACTTAAGCTACTGTAAATAAAGTATGTTTTTTAGTGTATGTTACACTCGATACCAAATTCACGTTAATTCACAACGAAAGGAGGTTAATTATAACTAGTAATTCACAACAGCCTTTCTAATGGATACCCTTGGATAGGTTGATTGACAGACTGGCTTTTTGGCTGACTTTATGTAAATTTACCAAACAACTTTGGAATCGATTCCGAGTCATTACCCTTCCAAATAATTTAGTTTCACTTCAATACGTTAGTATTGAAGTGGATATTTTGGGTTCTCGTTTTTACATATTTTATAACTAATACACTCGTAAGTGTTTAGCTTTGATACCACAAAAAGACTATTAAAATGAATTAAACAGCATTATTGACAGAAAATCATTTTTGAGTTAATTTTTAAAATAAAGGTAAAACATGAAGATTTTTTTGGAAAACCCTACATAAAGGATAATTATAGAATTTGTTAAAAGCCTATGTATTGTGATGAAACGTATTGACGAAACATTACTTTTTTTTGTAGCCGTGACTAACCTTCAGATACAAAATTTTAATAAAATTTAGCACAAAATTTTTTTAAAAATTTACGCTGCGCTGCGATCGGGTGCTTTTCGCTATTCCTACTTCATTACTAAACCAACCTTCCAGTGCACAAATAATCTGTCAAGGGATAGTACGTTGCTGAGAATTTTGCATTTATAATATTGATAACATATTACTATTTCTTGCATTTTTTGTGTTAAAAACTTTCTACGTTGATATAAGAGGTCTGCATCTCTCATATACACGCGAACATTAGTGGCAATTAGTTCCATTTTGTTCATTTTATTTTAGAAATGGCAAATAAGAAGAAGATTTTCAATCTCAATGATCCCACTGATATAGAAGCTGTTACAAATTTGATGTTTGCTGAGTCGTATGTCGATATACGTATGGATGATAGCGATACAGGCGAAGAGGAACATGTTTTGGAACGTGAGTCCGAATTGAGTGATGAAAGTAATGCCGAGGACAAAGCTGACAGTTTCAACGATGCTTGTGTAGCTCATCTGAAGAAAAATGGAAAAGTTTTCGACTCATGCATTTGGCAAAAAAATCCAAACAAAAAAAGTAAGCGACCACCTCTCAATATATTAGTCCATCTCCCTGGGGTCATTGGACCAGCTAAGAATCTCACAGACATGGTTGATGTTTGGAAGTGCCTCGTAACTGATCCTATGATTGAGAGCATCGTGAACTTCGCAAATAAGTACCTAAGTTCTGTAAGATCTAATTATTGTCGTCCAAGAGATGTCAGTGATACAGACAAACTAGAAATAACAGCACTTTTGGGCTTGCTTTATTTGGCGATCATTTATCATGGTAATCGAGTTATCCTGGAAGAATTATGGAAAATGGAACAAGGAGTTTGTGTCTAATTGCCAAAAATTCTACTCGCTTGGGATAAATGTTACAATTGACGAAAAACTAGAGGCATTTCGTGAAAGATGCTCCTTTATTCAATACCTCACAAAAAAACCAATAAATATGGTATCAAAATTTATGCCATGGTTGACGCTCGCATGTTATACACTTATAACACGAAAATGTATGCAGGGACTTAACCATGATGACATATTCTTCATAAGTAACAAACAACGATACGTGGCAAAAAGGTTGGCAACACCTATATTTAATACGGGGAGAACACTGACCACTTACTCGAAGATGAAAAAAAAATAAGGTCCATTTTCCCAATGAATAGAAAGTTACAAAAAGGCGTCAGCCCAATACCAGTATTTTTGGGTTTTGGAAGGACATGACTTTTGTTTCTTACGTGCCTAAGCGCTATAAAAACGTAATATTAGTTTCAAGCCTACATAATGGCGCAGCAATCGACGTAGAAACAGGTGACCAAAAGAAACCCAAGATTATAACATTCTATAATAAGGCAAAGGGAGGTGTAGATACAGTAGACAAACTTTGTGCTTCTTATAATGTTGCCAGGAAAACCAGAAGATGACCGATGGTAGTATTTTTTTCCATGTTAAATGTAGCCGCGATCAATAGTTATATAATTTATTCCACCAATAATAACGAAAAAATAGTTAGAAGGAAATACCTTCGACTACTTTTAAATGCTCTTGTGAAAGAACACGTCAAACGAAGAACACAATACTCTCTTCAAAATGAGCTCAAACAAAAAATTTCAAAAAGAAAAGCAGAATTAGGTATCGAGACAGTAGAGGAGGCCATAGCAAGTAAAAGAAGATGTAAGCCTTGTCAAAATGATAAACGTTTAAAGATCACGCGCTTCAGCTGTGAAATTTATCAGAAATTCATCTGCATGGAAAATTCAAAGCATATTTGTCAAGACTGCAAAACTACGATACAATAATATGTGTAATGTGCAATATCTAGGAGACATCTGGAATTTATGACACCGTTGTTGTTTTTAATGAAATTCAATAATTTTTTTTAATAAATACAAATATACTTATACGAATACGAATACGAATATATTTTGTATTAATATTATAATATTTCAATACCCACATCCTAATATAATTTAGCATTTAGCGTATCTAGGAAATACGCGCGTCCATTCTTGTTGGTACAAAGGCCGCGACCGCTGGAAGGTTAATGCAATTACTATTTTTATTAAAAATAAGTCACAATTTAAGTTTAAAATAAGTTTATTCATGACGATTTGATTAATTTAATTAAATCTTTTACAAACGAAACAGTATTTAAATGTGGACACATATTTTTTTTATATGAAAAATTATAAATTTTGAATTTTTTTTCTAGTTGCTGTTAAATACAATGATTATTTTTTATATGCCCCTAGAATATAAATGTGTATATTATTAAAACTATCATCAATTTTTAAATTTTGTACCTTATTTTTTCTCACAATTTAAAAATTCAGATAAATTTGCAAAGGTTAATTTCCGTACATCTTCTACTTCAATAACCTTATTAAATTCTTGATATAATATTTGTTTGATTTCTGAGGCCATCAGCGAGTCCACTCCAAAATTGTTAAAAGGCTTGTTTTTGTCAACAGTATCTAGAACAGCAAAAAATTGCTTATAAGTATATTTAACAAATAACGTAGTAACACCAGAAAATCTGGCTTCGCATACCTACCCAGAAAGCCCGAAGGGATCATTTTGGTCCAAGTTCTTAAATCAATATAAACCCAGCTTAAAGAAATTTTATCAACTCTAGAAGATAGAACCTGATTTTATTTTTTAGTTTCATTTTTAAACATTTGGAACACCGTATAGTTTGCAGTTTTTGGCATTTGCCACATATTGCCTTGTTAGAGTCGTGGCACTGTTACATACTTCAAAATAATAAATAATCTTTTCTACACGTCATCATGCAAGGAAGAGTAGAGGGAAGAAAAGACTTGGGAGGAAAAAAGAAATCTTGGCTGAAGAATATCAGAGATTAGACTAACCTCAGTGCTGAACATATATTTTAAGTTGCAAAATATAGGGAAGTGTTTAAAAAAGTGATCGCCAAACTTCGTTAGAAGACGGCACAATTAGAATAAGAAGACAATAATGTTTTAGGAAGTTAAAATAAATAATCGTCGTTTTTCCAAGAAAACGATATTAACTGATACAGGGCCAGTTTAACCCCTTCAGACTTGTATGGTAGGGTTGTTAGAGAATTTTTTGTTAAATAACGCTCTTTATCAATATATAATAATATATCGCCATATAATAACTTCAAATGGCAACAGGTGCCAGAATGGCCTTCGGATTTTCTAGTGTTAACTAGTGGCGATTGTTATCATCCAAATTAACAAAGAACTGATTATAAATATAAAGTAAAAACGTGCTAATAAATAGGGTGATGATAAGAAATTAATATGATAAGTAATCAAACGATAGTAAATACTAATAAATAAGTAGTTAAGTATTGTAAGTAAAAATGTATCTACACTAAATGAAGGAAAGTATGAATAGAAATAAAAAGATAGTGTTGCTAAAATTTTTGTGATTAAACAAAATTGCCTATAAAATATTATATTCGTAATGGATGTTGTAACAATAGATACTAAAAAAAATAATAATAATATCTTCAAAAGCTTTAATTTTTAAGTAAATAAATTTGATGGCTTTCCGTTTTTTTTAGGAATCCGTCATTATCAGAATTGATAATGACAAATACATGTAAAAAATATTAAAGGTAAGGTAAAGGGTGGAAAATAAATTTGTAAAAAAAATAGTTCTATGATCAATTGAATGTTTTCTATAATTGAAAGAAAATGCGCTTTAACACAAATGACGGATACACGGAAAATGAAAATAGGGGGGATATTGGGGACCCAAAAGGTCTACAATTAAAGAAAACCTATTATGGGGAACAATTTAAAACCCAATTTCTGTTGAGTTAGATTTTTAAGCTGTTTTCTATAGAATTAGGCGTGCTGATTTCAAAACTGTTTTTACTTTTCTTCTATCACGTCACGTTCGTTTTCTATGTATGTGGAGCGCATGTTGGTGGGGGAATGACGCGCTGATAACTGCAACTTGTCTAGACTTGACTTTACACGTGTTCACTTCAGTTACGTCTGTTATACCGTGGTGAAACGTGTGTTGGTTAGCAGCATTTAGTATTTCGTTACTTAAGTATGTAGAACTACTTAGTGAACTTACTTAAGTAAGTGTAGTGTGTTTGAACTGAAACGTTTCCTTATGGCTACCTCTACTCCTATACGTCGTAAGTACGAAAAGAGCTTTGATTCGTTTTGTTATATATATATATATATATATATATATATATATATATATATATATATATATATATATATGGCAGTTTTACCATTCCCAATCAAAGGACAAACATCAGTACATTCGTCAGACAAGCATATTTTGCCTATTTTAAAGTGAGACTTGGTGATTAAGATGAAGCATGGGCCCCTTATAACGTGTGTTAACAGTGTGTTGAGGGTTTACGGATGTGGAACAAGGGAACAGGTGCTAAACTTTCATTTGGTATACCTATGATTTGGCGGGAGCTCAAATATTCAGTTTTTAATGAATTTCCCTCTTTGGAAGCAGGGTAATATAAATATGGTGTAGATGAAAGCGACTCTAACGATTAAGATTTTGAAATTGAAGATGTCTCTGTACGTAAAGAATTCGAGTAGCAAGAGCTAAATGATTTGATACGAGATTTGGGACTATCCAAAAAAGCTTCAGAGCTCTTAGCATCACGACTCAATGAGAAAAACTTGCTTGAAAAGGGAGCCAAGGTATCCTATTTTCGAACACGATAAAGGGCATTTCTGCAATACTTTCAAAGTATTTGGTTCAGTTCCAATTGGCCATTTAGTTTGTTTGTGTGAAGAATATGACGACATAAAGAAAGTCATTGATCTGTTGCAATATCACATGCACCAATGGGTCATTTGTGTTGACCTTAAAATGTTCTGTTTTTTACTTGGTCAACAACGTGGATACACAAAGTACCCCTGCTTTCTGTGTATGTGGGACAGCAGAGCTCGTGCGCAACATTGAGTGTAGTCGAATTGGCTGCCAAGAACGAACCTGAGACCTGGTGATCCAAACTTTGTACATCAGCCACTTGTCGACAGAAAGAATATTATATTTCCTCCTCAGCATATAAAATTAGGTCTCATGAAACCATTTGTTAAAGCTTTGTGTCGTATCGAAATTTTCTAACCTGTCATTTAAAAAGATAAAGGCCGGTGTTTTTCATGGTCCGCAAATTCGGTAGCTTCTTACAGATGAAGATTTCGTAGTAACAATGTCAGAAATTGAAAAGAATGCGTGGTTGGCATTTAAAAACATTGTTAAAAACTTTCTTGGAAATACACGAGCTTTTAATTACGCCGATATTCTGCAGCAACTCTTGGATAGCTTCCAAAAGCTAGGGTGCAACATGAGCATTAAAGTGCATTTTCTACATAGCCACCTTGCTAATTTCCCGGACAATCTTGGTGCGGTGAGTAATGAGCAGGGTGAGCGTTTCCATCAAGATTTGAAGATCATGGAAGCACGATATTAAGGTAGATGGGACGTACATATGATGGCTGACTATTGTTGAAGCATCAAGCGCGAATGTACTTAAACTGAACACTCCAGAAAAAGCTATAAACGCAAAAATTTTGTCCTAATTTGTAAGTCTTCTTCACTAATTAAACAATTTTATTTATACGGTAGTTTAGAAAGTTGACATGATATACAAGATCTGAGGTTATTCTCAGATTCAGAGGACACAAATTAGTGAAAAACAAGTGTCAGATTCAACTCAACAAAAAATATGTTTCCCAGTGATGTCTTTTAAGTAGTTTGAGTATATCCATATTATTGAGTTCTCCTCCCAAGGCAAATGTCTAAATCCGCCAATGTTTAAAACTAAGCCGATAATAAAACTGCGCTTGGCAAAATAGTTAAATATCTTATTGGTCATTTAAATTGGTGCATAAAAATGTAAAGTCCCATGAAATTATATTATCTAAAATCCTCGTATTACAAATATCTTACCTATATTTGCAATTCCTAGAATATTAGCTACAATGTCGATAGGCGTCTTCTCTTTTTTCGCGACTTCTTGGCTATTTTTGTAAACGGAACTTATGCAAACTGCAACATCCAAAATCATAAATTCTTCTAAAACTTTCCAGCAGCTTTCAGGTTTTTGATAGAGTAAGTTACCATATGTCTAGAAATATTTTTGTAATTTTTAAATATGTTTATATATTATGATATTGAATATAACATATAAGTGCCAATATTTGGATTTAATAATTACATTTTAAAATTCACGTTGTAGTTTATTGTAATAAAAAAACCTATCAACCGGATTAAGTTCAGGTTAAATGGATAAATATGTACCCTAATTTTTATAATTTATACTTAGAATATAAAACACTTAAACGTCATTCATGCTATATCGATAAACATAGAATGAAGTAAAAAAATTAAAGAAAACAGATGCATCCAATATGTATAAGAAAATGTTTATCACACAAGGTAGACTGCGACAGCAATAACGATCGGTCTACAACTTGCTATTAGCAAACGAAGTCAACAGCAATGAGAATAATATGCATCATTATCTAACTTATGTATTTCTCTTTTATAAATGTTATACATTTGAGTTCATGGTTCTTTACCTGTGCGTCATACGAAATAAGTTGTAATTTTACGTTATTTTTGTTTTCTGAATGCGTATTGATATTCCAATATTAACTGGCAACTAACAACTAAAATCGGAATTTAGCTTTTTTATAAATTAGGGCTAAGCTAATTAATTTTTGGGAAGGGGATGTGTGGTTGGTTATATTTGTTCTCATTGGGCTGCCTGAGTTTTAACCTTGTTTAGGCTTGAGCCTCTTCAAGGAATGAGATACTCCGTTTTTTTTTGTCGTAGTAGTGGTGGTGTGGTAAACGAAATAATTGCTTCGTTGGTGGAGAAGTAGTGGACTACTAACAAGAAGGGGGGTTCGGCAGGTGGCGTGTGTGTGGACGATTGTAAGGAGCTCACAAGAGGAAATGGGAGAACTTTCCAAGCATGTTAGATCAGGTACTTCAGGGGTCACCAGCCATATAGTAGAAACGGCTCTTTATTAGCGTTTTTGGCGTGCAATGCATATTTATTTGGGAATAATTCTAAGATATCAAAATACTCATCAGGGACTTCATGTCTGTGAATAAGTTTTGCTGGAGGAACGCATGCCTTGTATTCGATGATAGGTCTGACGAATGTAGGTGTGCAATAAGGTTTTGGAAGATGTCCCACCCAGTTTACCGGACAACACCTTCAGGAGGTTAATCCTCTTTCTCATCCTATGTAGCGTATCTTAAACGTCGGTTTTTAAGTTGAGAGTTCTAGGAAAGTGAACTCCCCAAGTAGGAAACCGAGTTTCTGAGAATAAAGTCCTTTTCTAAAAGTGTTATGGGATTTGAATAAAATAGCTTGTGTTTTAGAGGGGTTTATAGTCAGTCTCTATTTATTGCACCACCTGATTACTCTGTCGAGGTAGTTTTGTGATCTTTCGAATACAGACAGACAGTTGTTGTCTACGCTCTGTATGAGATCCTGACGTGTGGAGGGTAGTATCATCAGCAAAAATAGGAAGAACTCCGATCCTTGCTATGGGCGGGGGATGTCCCTGTTGTAGACTGTGTATAATACTTGTGCAAGTATTGAGCCCTGAGGTACTCCAGCTTGTGGAGTAAAGGGGGTGGACAAATGGTTAGCTATTTTGATCCTGATCGTCTGATTAGATATGGGAATTGATTAGTTTAACCAAAGTAGTGGGCAGTTCAGCAAGGTAGAGTGTTTCAATCAGGCCTGTGTGCCAGACCTGATCGAATGCCTTCTCGACGTCTACGAATATGCCTATGACGTGTTTCCATTTGTTAAGTAGTGTGAAATGAAGGTAGTTTCTTTAAACAATGCATTTTGCGTGTAATTTCTAGCCCTGAGTTCAAATTGGTAATCTGGAATGGCAAAGTGAGCGTCTAGAAATTTCCTTAAGGATCATCTCGTAGACTTTACCTAGGGTGCTCAGTAGAGAAATAGGTCTGTACGATTCAGCGTTGGTGAGAGTTTTTCCATTTTTGGGAATCATGACTGTGCTTGCTGCTTTCCATTGAATTGGAAAGTAGCATCCAGCTCAGCGTTAGAGGTGCATTGATAATGTTGGTAAGCGACGGGAGAATATTCTGTGGAAGATTTTTGAGGCATCTTCTGTGGATGCCATAAGGGCCAAGAGATGTGTTGTTTCTAATGTTACACATCTGCCTGACGGTGTCCTCAGTCATAAGGGTCATCGTCAGATGAGGATGTGGTCCGTCATGTGCCTGAGGGTAGTAGAATATATCTTCCACTCCCCGTTTGCCATATCTTTTGGATATTGCGTTGAAGTTGGGGTTATTAATGGAAATGATGTTGTTGACTTTGAGGTGAGATAGTGGCTGACTTTTCTGTTTCGTTAGGGCTTTAAATTCATTCCAGAATGCAGCACCATCTCCGTAGTCAAGGTCGGCTGTGACACGCATCCACCGTTTTTGCTTCAGAATGTTCACTTCCAACCTTATAACCGCTGATGGTCTGTTGTACTCTGTCTTGATGAAAGGTCTCTGAATCTGTTATACTCTCTGATCATTTTTCGTTTGGATTTAATTTGTGTTATGATTTGGGGTGGTAAAGTTGGAGTATATGGATTGTATCTTGTTTTGTTCTCATGAGAAAATACTACACTTTAGAATGCTTTTAACTAAAAACCAATAAAATTTTAAGGGATTATGTATAATCAATACTTGAGTGGAGTGTTTTAAAAGAGAACGTATTCGTTTATGGAATATTATAGTCCCAAACATAATTTATTACCTAAAAAACGTCTTATAAGGACAATGGTCTTTTAAACACTCATAAGTATTCAAATCGATAAAAATTATTAATGTCTCTCGACACAGTATTGAAAATAGAAGCTAGTAAGTAATAGAAACGATTAGCATGTTACAGTAGGGCATATTTTCAAAATTGTACTTTTTGTACCGCTTGAACAGATGACAACGGTTTCAATAGTCCCTATGCCTTTTTTCTAATTTAATTTGCTTGATTAAATTTAAAACCATTTACTTGATTAAGGTATTGTGTTTTTGAGAAAAAATCAATAAAATAGTTTCTTTTTGTCATTTCTTTCACTTTTACGGAAATTTAAACAAAACCATGCCTTAACTGTATCAATGAGCTTAACTTTTTAGTAAATTAATTACAAAAAAACACTTACCATAAAATTTCAAACTCCAATATAAAATTAGTTGTAAAGATAACTACTTGTGTAATATAATTAACTTTTAAATGCAAAAACAGAACAAAAAACAGCAAAAAATCAACACAAAACAGACACAAGTAAACTAACCAGAAACGCCACAAACTGTACTTAAAATCTGAAAACGTCCCCATGACTGGCTTTTTACTAAATATTCTACGGAAACATGGTTAGGTAGTTAAGTTTATATTATTTCTAAAGACTTCACATTGTTCTCTGCTGTTCTCTATATACAACTAACTAAATGCAATATGGTCCACACACACGATGATAGTAAAACGATTATTTAAGTCAAAAATTAGCCTTACCTTTGTATTAAATTTTTCAGTCATAAGTACGCCTACGTCTGCCACTGGACCCCACTCGATAGCTAAGCCAGGTAGATTTTCTCTCTTTCTTTGTTCGCAAAGTCTTTCGAGAGCTGAATTGGCATAACCGTAGTTTGCTTGGCCCATAACACCTCTAGTGGCCACTACTGACGAAAACAGAACAAAGTGATCTAATTGCTTGCACATTTTGCGGGTTAAAACGTCCAAGTTTTTACTTGATGATATTTTTGGTCGGCATACGTCTTCAAACATTTGTGTTGTTTGTTGGTAGATAGAAGCATCACGTAGCACAAGAGCTGTATTGAAGATACCTAATAAATTAAAAATAGATTAAAAATTAAGACTTTTCGCGGAAAACTTATTAAAGCTTTTTAAAAGTATTTAAAAACGCTTTATTTTTGTTTTTTTTTTTACAATATGGTTTTCTTTAATACTTCATAGTTTAAAAGCTAGCCGAGTTATGAGTAAAAAACCAATCACATATTTTGGGAAATATCAGAACACGTGTACTGTAGCATTGTAAGTTACATATAATGTGCTATTAAGAAACACAAATACTACACTACCTAATACTAAAAAAAATACTACAACTATTCGAATTTTTGATTCGAAAATTCGAATTCGATTTTTCTAAGGGTAGAAATTGTGTGGTAAAAAATTCAAACAGTAAAGGAATCCAATTTTTTTTTATTATTGAGTTAATGCCTCGACAACTAAGATCATTGGCATGGTACAGTCAGGTACCTAGTGTAGTGTGTGTGTGTGTGTGTGTGTGTGTGTGTGTGTGTGTGTGTGTGTGTGTGTGTGTGTGTGTGTAGAGTAATTGTCTTGATACTTAGCAAAGTCGATGTCATTGTCTTTGCTAATAGACGCTAATTGTATCCGAATGTCTGCGGTCCCTCCGGTGAGTACCGATCGCACAAGGATAGAAATTATTTTCATTCATTAATTTTTAATAAACGAAAATTTCTCCACCCAGATGAGATTCGAACTCACGACCTTTAGATTTAAAGGTAGGCGCTCTTACCACTGAGCCACAGAGGGGGTTTATAATCTAAATTGAATGTTAATGTATAATTAAATATTTCCAAACTGCTTTGATTTACTATTAGATGATCTTTTTCTAATCGGAGTAGTTTTTACCCCTAAAAATTAAAAAGCGATCAATACAAAAGCAAGCAAAAGTCCAATTTTAAACTGAAGGATGCATAACATAAACAAAAATTTTTAAGCAAATCCATGGAGGTAAGGTATCCAGTAATATTATTTGAATTATAACTAATCTAGGGGGTGAGATTTCGATGTAAAACTGTAATAAAATCTTAATAAAAAGTCCACAATAATACTAAATTCCTGTAGCTGGCTGTATACCATGAATCAAAAAAAAATATTTAAAAATTCCTACCTACAAAAGGTATATATTAAAATACCCTATAGGGCTACATCACAGAACGTTTTCGAAATTAATATTCCATCAACAGTGCTATCAATTAAAGAAAACATGTAATTTAAATTTTGACCAAGGTTAATACAAAACTGTGGTTAGTACTTACTAGATGTACTTATTTTGAGCCAATAAATATGTGGATAAAATCCCATTAAATGTTGTTAAATTAAATTTGAATTACATTAGTATTTGAATAACTAGGATGTTTAAGTTACAACAGGAATATATAACATGGCAACGTAAGACTCCACTAGAGGTTGTTAGTCCTGAGACAAAGTGTCTCAGGGATTTGTTGATAGCAACTGATTGAAATGATAATAATGATTTGTTAGGACAGATGTCGGAACAAAGCAGTCAATGTAACTTGACTACGTTGAAAATTGAATATGATAAAATTAAAATAATAATAACAGTAGCAATCATCAATATGTTGTAGTTTGAAGTATGAATTCATCCTAAATTAACATTACGAAATTTGGGAAAATTCTTAATAATGTGGGCGAACAGAAGTTTGATAAAAAAATTTTGTGGGTATTGGTAGGCAACGACCGATCTGAATTAAGTGGTGGTGAACTATAAAGATTTTTACAAAAGGCCCTTTACGTTTTATCAACATCTGGTACCTGGAATATGGGAAGCAGAGATGTGTAAGAAGTTGAGTCCTTTAAATTTTATTATTGGAGAGTGAAATTTTAATTTCTGTATTTCAGCGGACTATTGAGATGGAGTGTGAATTTTGTAAGAAATTTTGTAATGTACTGCTCAGGTAGTACCTAACTTATAACTTAAGTAGAAAAGGCCTTATATCTTCAAAAGCAACATTTGGTACCTGAGAAATGTAAGAAGTATAAGTTATAATAAGTTATGTTCATGAACATAAATAACTGATTAAGTGTTGAAGGATAAAGTTAGTTAAATGTTATTGTTTTGACATAATATGTAAAAAACAACAAAAGTTGATGGGCTATACGTGGCTCTGTTTGGCTAAAATTATAATATGTTTTAATGTTGATGTGAGAAAATACTCTACAATAGGCTGAGATTTCCAGAGATCCGAAACCATACCCCGAGGGAAGTACGTGTGAATGTAAAATAAAGTGTTTTATAAATAAAAGTAAACAGGTAATGATCTACGTTAAGCAGATGTGTTAAAAGTGTGGGGATTACTGTATAATTGTGAAATTATATGTATTCTTACCGAGTGAAATATTTTTTGATGTGTGTAATTATGTGGATTCATTTATGTAGGAAGAAGAATTATGTAGGAAGTGGTCATAATGATTGGTTAATTTAATTATTGCTAGTATATTACTTAACTTATAACTTAAGTAAAACGGCCCTACATGTTCAAATATTACATTTGGAACCTAAATAATTTTTATGGGTGTCTAAGTTATAAGTAATATGTGGAAATGGCAACAGTTGATTAAAACATTTTGTTGTTAAATGTGTTTTAACAGATTATTGAAGATTGGCAAAAATGAGGGGTATACGGTGAAACTATTTGGTTATAAAATCCGTAAAATAGTTTCGAAACTATTTTACGGATTTTGTAATTAGATGTCGCTATCTCGTTCGTATTGAAGCCATGTTATTGTTGCTTCTTAAAAGGCAGAAAATATTGATTGTTCACGTTGAGAACTCCTATCAATAGCTGTTCTGATGAGACCTATTAGGTCGAAATACATATCAACAGATACATAGGAATTGGTTAGAGTTGTGATTTGTGGTGTTTTATTATTGTTATGATAGGGAAATTGACTAAGCAAGACATTACTAAATAGTTATGATTGATAAGATAAGATTCAGATATGTGGCTTGACTTTAGATGGACCATGAAATTATCTGGGTATTTGAATATGACGGGATGTATACGAGTAAGGGATTGAATTATTGTATGATTGTAAATGGTTTATAGAGGGGGAAATAAAATGGTCTGATCTATATTTAGTTATATCACAAAGGAGCATGAAGAAAATTAGGCATAAGGGTCATATTTAATAAATGACAAAAGGACAGTGATTAATTTAAATTTTAATGTAGCAGTAGAAATTGAGGATGTGGGTCATGAGAATAGTTTGCGATAGAGGAGAAGAAAGTGTCAATTGAATGAGACATGGCGATTAACACAATTTGGACTTCTCTGATTTTTTTGATAATTTCAAGATTTTTATATAAATATAGTTTTAGGAAGTTTTTTTTGGGGGATATTGTGAATAAGTAATACATCTTCTGCGATTTTGATAGTGTGATTATGTTCTTTTTAACGTTGAGAGAAAGTAGAAGTGTTTATTTTTTTTGTGTGCTCTAAAGAGCATGAAAACAGTAATCTACAAGTTTTTCCTATGTAGGTGGCCTCACAATCTAAACATTTTAGTTTATAAACACAATTACGGTTCATATAATTGATGAGGTATTGAATTAGATATACACTGACCCAAATTATTGGGTACTCTAAAAAAAACGTGGATGTTTTCAACTGAACATTTTATGAGATTTTAAATATCCCCAGAAAGACTCTCATGATGATATGAAAGTGACAGTAGTTAGGTTTAGTGGTAAAGTCGTCTCTGAGGAACGCAGAGTTCTTGCAGGGTTTTAAGGCGTCTTCTAAGGATGCGTTTATTGATGGTTTGTAAAGATGAGTTTGCATGTTTTCTTTAATTTAAGTGGTTATACTTTTAAAATAGCACTGATGATGGAATATTAATTCCGAAAACGTTCTGTTATGTAGCCCGATAGGGTATTTTAATATATACCTTTTATAAAAAAAAATTTAATAAAAAGCCACCACCGGCACAAGTCTAAAATTTTAGTGAAGGGTAAGTAAAATCTAAATTAAAATTTTCATCCAATTTGGTAATGACACGGAAAATTACAGTATATCGCCGTATTTCACGTGAAAAGTTGAATATTGACAAACTAAAATCACTGTGACCCAAGCAATAACCGTGCTTTGGTTGAAAAGTTATGAGGATGGATTTTTGCTTCATAGAACTTGAAATTCTAATTATTATAAGTATTCTGCATTACTAATATGTGCTATAAAACCTTATGACTGATAACGGGCGTCCCAGAGGTTCTTAATTCGCTATTGTTAGTATATTCTTGTTCTTGACTTCTTTTGCAGTACTGGTAGCCAAAGCCTGTTACATTTTGCTGATGAGTTTGCTGCACATTTTTCTTCATGGAGTAGGATGGGAACGGCTTCTTTGATTTTTCTCTCTTTCATCTGGAAAAAATCTCTCTCATGTCAAAAATCAACCTCAACCCAATTTTGTTAATTACAAAACATATGCTAATCTTCTTTCCGCGACATTTTATTTCAGAAAGTCTCTGTATTTTGGGATACCATTGGGATGTTTCCAAAGGTTCTCTCTGGATTATTGCCTGAAAAGATTTCCTGCTACTTGATGCCTGCATACCTTTCTTATCACAATTATGCTCAGAAATTTTTTTGTTAGACTATAATTTCAGTCAAACTAAAGTATTACCTCGCACCCTTTAATCTTTTTCTAACAGGCTAGAATACCTACTTCAATGACTGTCCTGTCGACCATTATTTTTGCACACATTCCGCTACAATTATTTCTTTGAGCAGTATTTGTTTTAACGGTTGGTAGGTTGCTAACATTGCCAATCACCCTTCACATTTTATAAGGGCTTGGGAAGAACTGATTATCAATGTTTGCACGAATAACGAACTCAAAATTAACAACACATTTAAAAAAAAAAAGACCAACAGAAATATACATTTAATAATACCCGTGGACAAAGATCTATAATAGATTATATTATAACTAACAGCGATATACATCCATCAAAAATAATCAACGTAAGATGTCTCAACTCGGCACAGGTAGGTAGCGAGCATAGCCTAAGATATGTAAAATAAGAATAATCCTGAAATACTTCCCACTCAAGAGAGCAGTGCCAAAACAAACAAAAATCACGAGGGACTAAATACGAAATCAACAGAATATTTATACAGGAAAAGAATAGATTAGAGAAGATCGCTGGAAATGAATTTGAATCATCAATATAACATCGAGAAAAGCTGGAAAAAACTCAAAAATAATATAATTAACGCCACAACAGAGTCACTAACATATCAAAAAAGAAAACACAATGGTTTAGAGAGGAAGTGAAGATAAAATGTGAAGAAAAGAAAAAAGCCTTTTTACAATACAGAACACAACAAACACAACAGGCGTACAACCACTATAACCGTATCAGAAATGAAACGAATACTTTAGTTAGACAAATAAAAAAGAAACACTGGCAGAGTTTCTCAAAAAAAAATGGAACACGATTTCTACTGAACACAAAAAAAATATGGAAAATGATCATAGCACAAAGAAAAGAGATAAACGAACTAATAAAAATGAAACACATTCAGAATGAAATTACTAAAAAAAAAATCACCAGGAGAGGACAGAATACCGAACGAACTCCTAAAGTACGGAGGACCAGATCTGACCAAACAACTGTTAAAACTAATTCAAAAAATAATAGAACAAAACAGAATTCCTCAAGAATGGAGATCAAGGATCCTAATACCCGTCTCCAAAAAGGGAGACAAATTGGACGCGGAAAATTATAGAAAAAATAATTTGTTAAACACAACACTAAAATTAACAATCAAAGTGATAACAAATAAATTAAATGAAATTATAACACTAGCAGAAGAACAACAAGGTTTTAGGTCAGAAATATCATGCACCGACGTTATATTTATATTGAGGTAAGTCCAAGAAAAATCATTAGAATAGAACAAACCAGCATATCTATGTTTCGTGGACCTTACAAAGTCATTTGATTGGGTCAAATTAAAAGACGCTATCAACTTACTGTAAGCAAGAGAGATACCTCTAGGAATAATCAAACTGATCAAAAATATCTACCAAAACAACACAATAAAAGTAAAAGTAGAAGAAGAATTAACCGACCTTATTGAAGCTGGCAATGGTATAAGACAAGGAGATTCCCTGAGTCCCCTATTATTCAACCTGATTAGGGATGAAATAATAAAAAAGTAAGAACTAAAAAAGGATACCAAATGGGAGAAAAACAAGTTCCCCAATAGAAAGACGATCAGTAGGATGACCACGAAAAGGATGAAATAACAACTTACTGGAGGCACAATGAAAAACAGACAGAGTCATGTATATATAAAACAAAGTAAGAAGAATATTCTGCTACACGGAGATACGTACTTTTGGATATTCATATGAATTTAAATTAAAATATCAAACATAAATATCTCTTTAGCGCTTTACAAAACTAAGAATGTAAATAATATACTGATTAAAATATAACGGTAATTACTTATTATATTTTGTATCATTCTCTTACCTCCAACTGGTCCGTACTTCTGAGCCTCCAATAACAGATTCTCAGCTCCAGACATCGTAGTACTATCAGAAAGATCAATGATAGCTTTATATTTTAGTGATTTCCATATGTTTATACTCAACTCTTGATACTTGGACCAGATAGTTCTTCTACCATTTAAAATAATTATTCGAGCGCCCTTCGAAAACAACCAATGAGCTAATTCTAAGCCCATTCCTCCCAATCCCCCAATGATTATATAAACTTTTTCGGGATAGAAAGTGATTTCTGGTTTTGCAACAATTGGTATAGGTTTTGATGGTCCATTTTTTCTTATATTTACTAAGACCTTTCCACAGTTTTTTCCACTTGATAAGTACCTAACCGCAGACTCGATCTCTTCTAATTCAAATGTTTTTAGAGGAAGTGGCTTAACAACTCCAGTATCGATACCTAGAAAATGTATTAAATTAATATACCAAAAACAACATACATATTGCAAACAATTTTAATTTTATTTTTCAAAAATCCAAAAATTTACAGCAGCAAACGCTGCAACTAATATTTCCAATTAACTGGTACACTTAGAACTTGCAAGAAAAATATTCCATCTCTATTACAGATATCGTTCAGTCGGATTAGACGAAAACAGGCCCAGTTTTGCATAAGGAGCTGCCTTAAATTTTATTATTATATCCTATAACGGAGGTGAACAGTAATGTAAATTTTAAAATGCGACTGAATCCAACCGGTGCATTAGCTGCCATCTTGAATTTGAAAATGAAAAAGCCATTTTTGCTCAATATCTTTGCCAATTTCCACTTTTCGACAAAAATGGTGAAGACTGAAATTGTTGCAAATACGATTTCCTACTATCCCTATTTTTACAAATTTTTTGTGCGGCCGATATTTTCCGAGTTAAGGGGGAAAATATTAAAAGAGGGTGGGAGCATAATTATTCAATGAACTCGCTAATTATTAAATTCACGACTTGAATGAATGTGTATAAAAATGGAGAAAATTATAATTTATGCAATTTTGGTTTCCTCTATTTTTTTGCTAAAATTTACCGAGAAATAATTATATTTTATACAAAGTAAAGTTCTTTTATTTTTTACTGAAATGAATATTTAAGATCGTACGTATGCGGCAAAGGCGAGAGCGTAACATTTTGCAGAGATTTATAGGAATTGTTTTTATTCAATATTTAGTTTCAACTTTTCGACAAATCGTGAGGACTTAAATTGTTGCAATTACGATTTTCATAATTTTTTTTGCAATTTTTTTTGTACGCTTGATATTTTCCGAGCTATAAGGGAAAATAGTGACAAAGTATACATTTAATATTAACTCCACAACATGGATATGCATATAACAGTTGAGTGGATTATATTTTATACATTTTGGTTTTCATTATTTTTTGTTTAAGTTAATATTTAATTTCTTAAGTTTAACCCTAGACGGTAACATGATCAGCAGCAAAACATAAACAGGAACGAATGTATGACTTTAACATTTTAATTTTTTGACAAAATAATGAGAGAAATAAAAATTTTATAAAATATATTTCTGTTCATTTTTATTACATACGTTCATGTTGTGAAGTTAGTAATAAACCAGAGAGACAGCGCGAAAAAATATGTAAAAAATGAATTGTAGAAAATCTTATTTGCAACAATTTCATCCCTTACGTATTATTTTTGTCAAAAAGTGGAAAATGGCGAGATATTGAGCAAAAAGGTTTTCCTTTAAAATCAAGATGGAGGCTGATGCAACGAAGGAATTCAGTCACGATTTAAAATTTACACTACTATTGACCCACTAAAGGTTATAATAATAAACTTTGTAGTAGCTTTCCATGCAAGGTGAAATGCTATCCCGACTGTACTAATATGGTCTAAACTCATATAAACAGAGTAAAAACGATGGTTTTTATACCTTTTGATAGCAACTTTCCATAACGTATAGGAATCATAAAATATACTTTTACTATTTATTAGTGAAATCCAAATTCAATTGAAATTTAAAAAAATCAAAATCAGAAAGCAAGAATAAGTATCGAAGGAGAACTGACAGAGGAAGTAAGTATACTTAGAGGAGTTCGACAAGGGTGCATACTTTCACCACTTTTATTTAACGTCTACAGTAAAGTGATGTTTCAACAAGCTTTATTGGATATTGTAGAAGGTAGTTTGGTCAACGGAAATAGCATTAATAATATTAGATATACATACGATACGGTCATATTTTCAAGTGACATGAAAGATCTACAGTGCATAATACAACATGTATACAATGCATACGGACTGCAAATGAATCTCAAGAAAACGAAATCAATGATATTCCCCAAAAAAAACGCAAAATGTAGATAACCTGATCATCAATAATACGATCGAAAGAGTAACAACATATAAATATTTAGAAACGTGGTTAATCGAAGATGGAGATCAAATAAAAGAAATCTAGATCAGATCTAGAATAGAAATGGTAGGAAACACGTTCATAAAATTGAAGAACTTACTTTGCAACTGTAACATCTGCACAAGAATGTTACGTTGTTACGTTTTTTGTAGTTTTTTTGCTTTGAGATGTGGTGCTACAGGAGAATTCACAGAATATCGTGGACTAAAAAAGTAACTAATATGGAGGTATTACAAAGAATGATGAAAGAATGTAAAGTCATAAAAACTGTTAAAATTAAAAAGAGTCAATATCTGGGTCATATAATGAGGGGCGACAAGTACGTATTACTTAGGTTAATTATGCAAGGGAAGATACAAGGGAAGAGAAACCCAGGACGGCGCAAAATATCTTCGCTAAGAAATTTGAGAGACTGGTTCGGTTGCAGCTCATTAGAATTATTTAGAAGCGCTGCCAATAAAATTAAAATAGCGATGGTGATTTCCAACCTCCGATAGGAGAAGGAACCTGAAGAAGAAGTGTAATTCAACATCACTCAAAACTTCAAAAACCACTTAGACAAGTGACATAGACAAAACTTTCAGTAAAAAAATATAACAAATAAAGTGATATAACAAATGTAATATAACAAATAACAGATAGTAATTAAATTACTATAATACCTACCATTTCAAATAGGTAAAAGAAATAATAAATAAGACTTACTCACAATCATTTAATTTAACTATCCAGACGACCGGTTTCGCTTTCTACAATATGCAAAGCATCTTCAGGTCTCGATACAAAGTTAAATACAAGCTGAAATAATAAACCCATATCAGGGTGTTGTCTAATAAAGATAAACAAAGATAGATGATATAAATTACACTAATTATGCCAATATAACATGTCTGTGGTTTTTCAAAATAAATAAAAAGTTTTAGCAGACAAGGTAAGACCCACAAATTGATATAAAATATCCTATTAAATTATATAAAAATTAGTAAATGAACAAATATATAAAACATTACTTACATGCCGGTACTCTATTAATGGATGGTTGGAAGAACATGGTTCAAACTATCCTCTATTGTTGAATGGAGAACTTAAGTCTGCTATTGTAATTGTTTGACAATAAACGGGAAGTTCTTGAGGATATAGATTTTATCCAATGAAGTAGAGATAGGTGTAATATGATTGTTTGTTAGGTGAAAGTGATGTTCTATACCATTAAATTATTTAAAAGTTATTTATATTTATTCAAGAGATATATTTATGAAATTTGTGTCATTTCTTGAGATTTTATTTTATAAATACACTTAATACACTTTTATAAATACACTTAAGGACTATTTAAAACACACAGAAAACACTTGAAAGGGACGAAACAAACATTAAATTTAAAAAAGGGAAGGACTTGAATGCACTACATCTCTTACTTGGAGACAATGAGTTTTTATGTTATCTATTAGATTTTAGAAGTAAGTTTGACAAATGTAGGTTCAAGTGTGACAGTTCTCCTTCTAAATACTGTAAGTTAAGTTATACAGTTTTATGAAATAAGCTGATATTAATGAATATCTATTTTTTTTTAATTTTAGATATCAAAAGTAAGTTGATGTGTTTAATATTGGCATGCTTTAACAATCATTAAATAATTAAATTTAAATGTCACAATATGAAAAATTGAAATACATCTTCTATTATAACTAACTCAATTTAGTCAAACATTACAGAACAAACTTAAGTGATTATTTGGTAATTAAACATGTACATTTGTAATCAAAATGTATAGCAAAATTACAAAATATATTTGAAGATTAATGTTGCTGTGAGTTATCTGTCATGGTGTGTATAAATATTTTTAAAATATTGTATTCCAGTTCTAATATGTTAATATGGAACTAAAGTAATAAGTAGATAAATTATTGATGGTAAATTAATTTATGAATTCAAGAAACTGACTGAATTATTAAACCTTTAATAATTAGTTGGTAATTCTAATATCTGACAGTTGGGACCGGAAATTGGTTATACCAACAGATGAACGGTACTCTATTGAAATTTATTTAAACCGGTTTAACTGTTTTAAATTGTCCTTAAGTGTTTTAACTTTAATAAGTTTATATACTTGACTTTGCAATCATTTGCCATATATGCCAATAGAACTTTATCAAAGAAATTTGATAATTACAAGTTGAAATAATTGCACACCCACACAATTTGTACATCTCATCTCATTCATTGTCATACAATTGTCACTTTCATAAATAACACACATTTCATAAATATATCTCTTGAATAAATATAAATAACTTTTAAATAATTCAATGGTATAGAACATCACTTTCATCTAACAAACAATCGCATAACACCTATCTGTACTTCATTGTATAAAATCTATCTCTACAAGAACTTCCCGTTTATTGTCAAACAATTACAATTGCAGACCTAGGTTCTTCATTGAACAATAGAGGATAGTTGGAACTATGTTCTTCTAACCATCAATTAATAGAGTACCGGCATGTAAGTAATGTTTTATTTATTTGTTCATTTACTAATTTATTACGATTTAATAGACTATTTTATACCAATTTGTAGGTCTTACCATGTCTACTAAAACATTTTATTCATTTTGAAAAACCACAGACATATAATATTGGCATAATTGCTGTAGTTTATATCATCTATCTTTGTTTATCTTTACTAGACAACACCCTAATACGGGTTTATTATTTCAGCATTTATTTAACTTTGTATCGAGACCTGAAGATGCTTTGCATATTGTAGAAAGCGAAACCGGTCGTCTGGATAGCTAAATTAAATTGATTGTGAGTAAGTCCTATTTATTATTTCTTTTACCTATTTTTATTAATGTTTCGTGACATATTGACGGCAAAAGTGAGTGTTTAAAAAAAAATAAAAAAATACAAAAATATGTTATTATCAAAACTATAAAATAGATCAAAATAAAGAAATATAATCTTACCTTCCTGAACTAATTTGTGTATTTTTTTCTTAATTTCAATGCTATTCATTAATTCATCTACCATTACTCCGTGGAAACTACAGTTTTTTAAATAAATCCTTGTATCAATAGAAGATCCCATAAGAAGATCCATTTTGCCAATCTCCAGGAATGTTCCTTCTTGTGCTAAGCATTCTATGGACATCTGAAACATTTCTCCAGCTAATGAATTTAACACAAAGTCAACTCCTTTTCCGTTTGTCCGCTGTTTCACAAGATTGTAGAAAGAGGTGTCTCTCGAATTTCCTGGAATATATGAAAATATGTAGATAATTTAAATAAAAATAGAAATTAAAACATGATGTCAAATCCAATCAAGTAAATTCAGATGTTTAAATTCTTAAATGTTGCCCACATCTGTGGTGTTTCCATTAAAACAATAAATTATATTGTAATAAAAAAACCATTGCTGAATTTTAGCCACTGATTGCATCAGCTTCTGATCGTCCTTTGAACCTTTTAATTTACCGACAAAAAACGGAACAGCATCCGCTGGCCATAAATACACAGTTTTACCCTCACAGGGATTTTAAACCTAACATTTTAAGGGGAAAATGGTATGCCACGTTGGTTCAAGTTTTTATATTGTATCTTTCTCCATTATGTATTTCTATTTATCTCAGCCGATGAAGAACGCCGCTCCACGTTATGTCAGATCCAGGCTTTAGAGTTCATCTTTTTATATGGCATATTACGTTTTTTCGAGAGCCGGCAACACCGCTAAGTGTGAGATATGTATTTTAAACTAAAACAGACATTTTTCTTAATTTTCACTAAAAATAGTGAAAAATAAATCATGGTATAGAAGTAATAAAAATAATCATTTAATTTAATTTTAGTGATAAAGTAAAAGCGAAAATTGTATCGAAGCGTACATCTTTTACCAGAATTTTGGTTAATTTTTATATTAAAACTTTCAGCAACAAATATAGATGCTCATATAAAGTTACTCTTTAAAAACAAGATTAATGGATTCAGATAAGCCTAAAGACACCGAAAAAATAAAGCAATATTGCAATGAGAGATCAGAATATCAGGAAATCGTTTCCTAAAGAGAAGTTATAAAATAGTATTAAAAGGAAATTGTAATGACTGGTCTAGAAATTGATAGATAAAGTAAAAGATATCCAATTTTATTGAAAACATCTACTGAGTCATACAAGAATTAAATCAATGCTCAAACCCAGATTTAGGCTACGATATGTTGACCATACAATCGTTATTTGACCTCACACTAAGGTTCTTTGTTATCTTTATACCCAAAGATATCCATATGTATACCTAGTATTCAATTTACGATGGAGATTGAAACTGATTCATTTTAACCGATCCCTGACGCCGACGTTCTAATAAAGAAAAATCAATCCCATAGTTTTCATTACTCTGTTTACACGAAAAATACTTATACCAGTAACCTTACACCCCAACTCCCATTACGTACCTTCCCAAATTAATCCACTAAGCAATATCCTTCTTGTTAGATCAATACGTCTCTGCAAGGATTCAAGTAGATCTGTTGAGCTTTTTTACAACAAGCTTTCCTCCAAAATGCGTATCGCGAAAATCATATGAATGGGGGCATTTACAGATATCAATATCTCGCTCAATACAAAGAATCTGTCTCTCGTTATACGAACGTTTGTCTTTCCTATATAAAAAATGTCACTGACAAAATCAACATAATGCTCAAATCAAAAAAATGAAGACAATATTTACTCCTCAAAAATAACGTTCATCCCTTGTTCGATCCGTCAAAGATAACGTTTTAAATAAACATTACATACTTTGTGAAATAACTTGTGCACACTGCCCACGAACTTACGTAGACCGAACAATTCAAAGAATCCAAAATAAAATCTATAAACACAATTTTGTTTCAGTTCTTGCCCTATCCGAAAACATCATCTACATAAAGGTCAAAAAACTTATTTTTAACACTCCAAAACTATAGCCTCACATCCGTTTCTCAAAACCAAGAATTTTCAAATAAGATATAGAGATCTAAAAACACCCGACTTGTCGCAATAAAACACAAGAGCACACGAGACTTCTCCTCCATCATAATAAGCATTGTCCGCTCTCTCTACGAATCCAGCTCCGTTGTGAGCCAGAGAACGAGTGAACATTGTACCAATAAAGTGACTTACTGACACAGATGAAACATTGTAGTAACAAGCCCCCTGAAGTAGTAACATGTTTTTTATTTAATTAGTAGTGTTTAATACTGATTGTAAGTCTCATTTAATGCTCTTGGTAACCAAAACAGTTAATACGATAATATATGGTCCAGCAGCCGGGTACCTTTCTATTTGCATGTTATCTTTTTAAAGGATGGTATGATTTGACCAACTTTTTTACTAAAAGTCGACAGCATCAGACAAGTATCTAAATTACTATTCAAATCATACCATCCTTCAAAAATATAAAACTGTATTAGGTATGAAAAACCATAAAATAATATCCATTGTTGATGACAACATTTTACAAAAAAAGCTGGACATATTATACAAAATTTTTTGTAACAACGGCTATCCTAAACAAAAAAAAATAAATAATTTACAGCAGTAACCTCTATGATGATCCTGTTCATGATTCTAACAACAAACAATCAAATATAAAAACTCTACTTTACTAATGGTCTTACTCATTCTGTCATATTCCCATTCAAAGATGTTCCTAATATTAGTATAGCTAAATATAATGCCATGAACACCAAACAACTATTTTCAAAAATCAAAGACCTAGTACCAACCTAATATAGAAGTAATGTTGTTTATGAAATACCTGTCTAGGGTGTCAAAAAAACTACATTGGCCAAACATCATAGTGGCTCAAACAACGCATCACACAACATACAAGTGATTACCGTTTGGGAAAAAATATTTAAAGAAATACTATGAAAACACCGGTCATTTGCTAAACTATAACAAGGCTTGTATAAACAGGCTTGCACCAACTGGTAACTATAAAAGTAGATTTTTTCTGGAGATGTATCACATTAACAAAAATAAAAACACTTTAAAATATAACACAGACGCTGGACATTTAAGTAACATACATATATTGTAATATATTTAACAAAATTTGAAAATATTCAAAATAGCTAGTACTCACCTTAATAACAACTAACCTTAATAATTAGTCAAAGAAATATTATTGTTCTAACGTTTCTTTTATTGTTATTTTTTACATTTGGAATGATTATTGTACTTGCCTTATCTTATTACTGTAACGAACGTGCAGATAAGTAACCGTATAACTTTTATTTCGATTACACTTATTTGTATTTTCGTTTGATTATTTTTGCAAGAGATATTATATAAGTCATTTTAATCAATTTTAAGATGAATTTGAATCAACTATTTCAAATATCGTCCACGCGATCCAACTATTTTCACTTTGTTGTTATAAAATAATACCAGAGATAATAGATTGTAATAACTGAGATTAAAAAAATCTTAACTAAGTTATCAATACTAGATTAATATAGAAGAGGCAACAAAAACTATTGTGTTTTTATTATTTTTATTTTTTATAATAAATATAACACATATCTCACCTATGTTCTCTTCCTTTAGTTGGGGAAATAAATCTCTTAAAAACTGCTTTTTCTTCTCAGATCCCACAGTTACAAAAATTGTTGAATTTAGCGATAATGCTATGTTAATTGCTGATATTCCAATACCACCTGCCCCAGCATGAATTAGTATAGAACAGTTCTGCTCCATTCTTCCCCTGACCATCAACGCGTAGTAGCACTAAAAATATAAAAGTATTAGCTATCTGGTAAAAATGTACAAAAGTATTTAAATAAATACATATGATAGTAATTACCGTAACATAAGTAACTGGTACGGTAGCTGCTTCCTCAAGTGTCCAGGATTCGGGTATAGTCCATGTAAACTCGGGATCAGTTTCTACTTGGAATTTAAATTCGTTAAAGAGAAATCCCATTACTCTCTTTCCTTTTTGTGTTATACCAGAGTATTCACCTCCAATAAATTTATTACCCTCTTTCAGTCTACCAGAAGAAATCATAACATCCTTATAGTTTAGCGCAAGGTAATATGTGTCCACAATGTTGGCCTCATCGACACTAAAAATTAATTATTTAAACTTAGGATATTGTAAATAAATTCGTCGGCCATAGTCTTTCAGTAATGTCAGAAGAATTGAAATATCACCAAAGTGTTTATGCTTTTGCAGTTAATGTTTTGCAATGGGGCATTGTAAATTGAAAACAAAAGTAACGCTTTGGTCTGGCTCTCTATTGTTAGTTGCAGAAGACATAATCATCTGAGATAACTATTAATTGTTTTTCACAGTAACACGGGTACTTGATCACACTATTTATGACTAGTAGGGAGGCTATCGAAAAAAAACGTCAGTTCACCTTTAATCGTGAAGAAGAGCTAATCAGGTATATAAACAGGGTCAGGTTAAAAAAGCTCTTCTGAGGTTCATCGAAAATTGCAATACTGATTTGACCTAACCAGTATATTCCATAATCACATACAGACTAAAACATTTGTGTGAAGTATTATAACATATGTCGCTGAAAATTGGATTATAAACAAGAAAAACAGCAGTAAGATTGTAGCGTCAGAGCACTCTTTTGCTGCTTGTTTTTTAGAGATGGTTATAAATGCTGACTTCAGCCACTCTTGTGGTATTATTCCCGTATCGTGCACCGTCTTGATTAAATCTGCCAATACTTCTAAGTTATCCTCTTTCACTAGTTTTAACAGTTCTACTGGTATTTCACCGAATCCAGCTGTCTCATTGTATTTAGGGTTTTTGATAGCATATTTGATTTCATCTATCGTGATCTTCTGTCTCTCTAAAGGACTTATTTCTTGTATTTTCTGCATTTCACCTCTTTTATCTTGGAAAAGTTCTCTAACCTAATCCTTCCATCGTCTTAATTTCTCTGGTAAATCTATTAGTAGTTCTCCTTGTTTGTCTTTCATGTGTTCTTGCTGTCTATTTCGACCCAATCCACTCTTCGACCAACTCCACAATTTCGATCACTTCTCTTATTTTTTGTGCATATTTCTCATATCATATTTTGTTTCTAGTTCTTCCATCTCATTACATTGTTGCATCAAATAGATTTCCTTAGCTGTTTTGATTGTTTCCTTAATTCTAGCTAAAAATGCACATACTCAATTAACATAGCTGTTACTGAAACAGAAGACGTCATTCTAAGAAGCTACTGAGATGCTTTTCACCGCGGGGAAACAAAAACCGGTCTAATTTCCTTCTATTGCCCCCGGGTCCCCTGTAGAGGGCTTCGGAAACGTCAACGAAAGCACCTCTACCCAAACCCATTTTCTGGATATGAACTTGTGGAAAGTTTTCTTGTGATGAACTTGTCTTGAAAAAGACGAGCCATTTCTTACATGACATACGATGAAGTTGTCGAAATAGACATCAGGTTCTCAGCTTCGGTGACGTGCCTTAAAAAAGGCAAGATATTTCTTACATGAAGAAATATGTTAAGGATATGAAAATAAAATCACCAAATACTTGAAATAATTACTCAGCCACAGAATATGGCAAAAAGCTAAAAGAAAACAGAGCCCCGAGAACACTAAGCTCTCGGAGAGCCCGTGAGGGACTGACTTGGTTGACCTAAAAATCGCCTATTTTTATACACGCTGAAGTAGCGATAAATAGGGATTTCCAGGTCAGGGACCAATAGGAAAAATGAGGGGCGGGGCGATGCGTCTCGAGCGCGAACTAGTCGCGTCCGAGAACATGCAGTGCTGTTATATCGAAACGGATCGGCGATTTTCGGCAAATTTCGGTGCTCTCGATTTTAAGACTTTTCGTTAGAAACGAAAGACCTAAGCTGTGGCTTAAAACTATGGTACTAAAACTGGCCACAGTTGACCAATTAGTAATTCTTCTTTAACTTAAATTACGAAACTAACAACTATACACTATAGGTAAAACACAGCACAGCACTTTGCTCTGATTTTACACCAGTTAACACTTTTCACTAACTCAAATAGTTTTCGTCATTTGAGTCTTCTTTTTAATTTAATATTACCGAGGAGCTCGATGGCTTCGATATTAACATGACTATGAAGCCGTTTTACGTAACTACCAGCCATCTTCTTGATAACTTTATCCATATTTTCCATCTCAAGGTCCTTGTGGAGGTCGACAATTTGTTTGTTATGTATGACAACTTACAAAACCGTAAAAAACTTCCAAGTGTCCAGCAGCAACAAAATCTGGAAACAGAGTAGTTGATTTTAATTCGTCAACTACATCTAATCCTCCTTTTGTTAGTTTGTGGAACGTCCTAATTTTAGGTTTTAGCTGTTCACCAGATTCTGAATCGATGTAGTCACCGGAATGAAATGTATACAACATCAGTACGTTATTTTGAGGTTTTGCTTTATACTGTAGCAACACAATATCCTTCTGGAAACCAAACCAAATATGCTATTAGATGCAGGCCGTTTCTATTGTATGAATAGTGGTAGACTTGTCCTCTTGTTTTTTTCTCACGGTCCCTACGAGTGTAGTTTTTCTACAAAATAATTCATTTGCTAACGGCAATGACATAAAATAATTGTCAAGTGTAATACTTCTACCTGTATCTAATATAGGATATGCTATATGCTTAACAACAGCAGAGGAAGGGTTGTCTAGATGAAAAGGAGCATACTTCTGCTTTTCTGTATATATTTACATATTGCAGGTATCAAACGTTCTCGAATCTACTAAGGCACATATTTTAAGGTCATATTGGACAGGTTTGTTAGCAATATATTGCTGGATACGAAATGTTCAAATATCTCTAATAGCAGCTCAATTATCGTACACTTTTCTTTCGTTTCTGTCATTGACGTTGTCAAATATTTGTGTCTTTCTTTAAAAATGAAAGCGTTCTCATAAGATCGTTAGTCTAAAGCAAGCTGGTACAAATATCGAATTCCCTTAAAGTTTCTTAGTATTTACATATTGAGCTTTCCGTAGCCCACCATGTATAATAGGCCATAAAAGCATAAATATATCTCTGTAGTGTCAGTGTCTTGGCATTCCATTTCTCTGGTATAATTATATCGTATTTTGGTTATATAGATATTTGTGTAATACGCGATTTTTTCTATTATTGTTTCTGTAATATATAATCTCCAGCAAGTTTTAAAAGAATTTGAATTTTTTGCAACATTTTTTTCTTTGGGAATATGACTAACAATATTATTTCTAAGTATTCGTGCATTTAGGCGTGTAGGATAAGAATAGGATCTAGGATCTAACAAGTTTTTCTGTTGTTAGCAATAAAACAGTATCGAGACGCATGTGCACCATTGCCGTTAACTTCATTATGAAAATTTTCAACATCTTCAACATATTGTTTAAAGTCCGAATTATGCTCACTGTGTTCACTGGAAACGTGGTCTTTGATGTCTACTAGTCCGTTATCATCCATCATTTCTTGATTTTGGCCCTGTTCTTAGCAGTTCCACAATATGTTAGCCATCATTTATTCTCTTTGAATATATGCATATCGAATTTGCACGGTTAAGCATATCGCTGAAGACACTCCAAAAGTCAGCTAGAAATGAAGGCAACAGTGCAAATTATTTACCGTTATTGGATGTGCATATTTAACAGAAGCGTGAGAGAAATGCTCATAGTGCGAGTGAAACAGGGTTAATATAGTTCCATAGCTTTTTGTTGTACTTTTTGTATTCCCGTTTCTTTTCTGGTTTTCGTATTTGCTTGATTTTTAATTGTAGTTAAACTTTATCATAGCGTTTAAAATTAATTATGTAAACCTTAACTTTATATGTTTAATCGATTTAGTTTAAGCTTTACACTTTACTTTAAGATTTAGCACATTCGTTCGCTCGTACAGTATCGTCACTTTTGACATATGTCATCCTTTGAGAGATATCCTCCTCCTCAGTCCTAATCCCTTTTGGGATGTGGTGACACCATCAGGGCTTCACAGTTTTTTTTTAGGATTTCCCTCCATTCTTCCCTTTCCTGGGCTAGTTGTTCGGCTTCATGTAACCCTTGAATAATCAATGTTTTTATTTGATCTATCCAACGGCTTGGAGATCTTCCCCTAGGTCTTTTTCCTTCAACTCTACCCTCGACTATCAGTTTTTCCATCGTGCCTGTTCTTCTAGCAATGTTTCTTCGTGCCTGTACTAGTTTATTTTTATCCTCTTTGTTTAAGGTCCACGTTTCGGATGCATATGCGGCTATGGGAAAAATGAGTGCCCTTACCAGCCTTAGTTTTGTGTGTATTTTTATGCTAGAATTTTTCCAAATTGCTATCAGTTTCATCATGGCTGTTCTAGCAATAGTCAACCTTCTACCTATTTCTCTGTCACACCCTTCGTCATTTATTATTAGGGACCCCAGGTATATGAAAGTATTTACTACTTCAAAGCCCCCAATTTCTTTAATGAAGATTATTCCGAGCTCTGTCTACTATCTTGATCTTTGTCTTACTCGTATTTAGCTTTAGTCCATATGTTTTTCTTTTTTCCTCCAAACATCTCATTATGTCTTCCATTTCTTCCTGATTTGCCGCGATTATTAAAGTGTCATCAGCATATCTCAAGTTATTGATTTTTTGACCTTCTACTGATATTCCGCCCTTCCGTCCATCTAGTACCTTTCGCATAATGTGTTCGCGATATTAAACAGAGTTGGCGAGATTATGCATCCCTGCCTGACACCTGCCTCTGTTTTGAAATGATCGGAATGGGTCTTGTTTACTTTTAATGTGCACTTATTATTTTCACACAGATTTCTAATTAGTTTGATTAAGTTGTGGGGTGTTCCCATTTCTGCTAGTATCGACTATCGCTGCTGCCATTTAACTTAATCAAAGGCCTTTGTGTAATCCATAAAGCACATAAGTATAGGAGTATTGAATTCACGAGTTTTTTCGATTAGCTGACATTAAGGATGTGTTTTCTTGTGCTTTTTCCTGGGAGAAAGCCCGCTTGTTCTTCTAATATCTGAGGCAATGGAAAAGCTTTTAATCTTTCATGTATTATATGAAGTAGAACCTTGTTTGCATGGGATATTAGGGTTACTGTTCTGTAGTTGCTGTAATCTAGCGGAGTTCCTTTTTTGAATATAGGGATGAAAGTAGATGTTGTCCAGTCGTTGGGCCACTCTCCGGTTTCCCGAATATTTTTGCAGATCATATGCATAACATTTACTCCAACATCTCCAGTCTCTTTTAAAACTTCTGCGGTGATCTTGTCTACGCCAGGAGATTTTCTATTTTTCAACTTATTGATTGCTTTTCCTACCTCTGACTTTAAAATGTTTGGTTCTCTCTCTGCAGTGAACTCATCGTGATTTGCATTTTGGGGATCATCTACATATAGATTTTGACAATATTTTCTCCATACCTCCGCAATCCATTCGTTTTGATCCATTATTGTTTGTGTGATTGGTTTAAATTCCCTGGCTAGATATCGAACTTTGTTATATAGCTCATGGGATTCATACCGGTTTGCATGTATCTCTAATTGAGCCGCATAAACATAATTAATTACTAGGCCACCAATAATTTAAGATTTAGCTGAGTGAATTCACTATATTTAGCTGGTTTTATTCACCATAGATGTGAATAAAATATTTTAAATTAACACAAATAAAACAAAAATTACAAAAGTAAAATTTAAATAAATGTAACTTACATCGAACTGCAATTTTTTGTTTCAGTCCATCCTATTGTAGATAAATCTCCTGGTTTACACACAGTAAGCCCTGCATTCTCGACAACTTTGGTCTGTATTGGTTCCACTGCTATAGGTACAAATGTTCCCCACTCATTATCTTGCAAGATGTTGAATGCCAAGTTCTTTGATAACTGATTTTTGTAATAACTATTACTAATAGAAAAAGGTGGCGCTACTTGGTTAACAAGAACTGACCTAAAGGCAACTTTAATGTCGTCCTCCGACATAAGGCAGTAATTAAGGCCAACAATCCCATTCGTGTATTCATTTTCACTATATAATAAAACATTTTTTGAATTGATGGAGTTCGAAACTGTTTTTATTTTCTCTAGCCACTTATAGTTATTCTCACTAATTTGAATGACCTCATCAAAAGTGATGGCATCTTGTTTTATGCGTAATAAAGTTAAACTGGGTGTTTGGAAAATTACTTCGAATTCGTTTATCTTAGTATTTTCTAAATTTCCAATACATAGAATAAATGCATTTTTTTTTAAATTACTAAAAGCTTTTCTATACTTTTCAATCATTAGATTATCCAATATTAGTAATTCTATCTTACTGTCTATATTGTTGGGTTGTATTGAAGAATACTCTGAAACTATAAATATTCTTTTAGAATAGTATAATTCGGTTTTAACTTGAATTTCACTTGGAATTTTACTTTCATCAGTTTTTAATTCCCTGATAATAATGTTCTTAATAAAGCCAAACATATTCTGTACAACTATATTAAGGGCTATTTGAAGAGATTGGTCCACGTTATATTTCTTATTTTCAGGAGATACATATTTAACGAATGCTATATTCTCTAAGTGTTCACCTAGTTGGATATTTTTCCTACGTGGCGCAATGCTTAATTTAACGCCCATAATTTCAATGCCTTTAGTTCGAACAATATTAGAGTATGGATCATGATGCACATATACAGCTGAAAATAATATATCATAAAATATTAGTTAATCACTAAAGTAAAAAAAATAATACAGTAGACTCCCTCTATAACGAGAACTATATACTCTATAAATGGCGAACTAACTATCTCGTTATAAGTCGATCTCGTTATATCAGACAACAATAATACTGTGAATACCTATGAATATGTAGTTTTCTAAAACATTAACTTCTTATAGAGAAGCCATTCAACGCAATATAAGATGATAAATGGGGAGTCCGGCACTGATATCTAATAAGCACACATGCTTTTTGATCGATCCTGACAATACTAAATTTAACTAATAAAAAGGAATCATAGAATTCTTACACTACGTTAACATCAAGTATAATAGTGTTAGTTGAGTGTGTATAGAAAAACATTTTCTGTGAGTACATATTTTTATATTAATAAGTAATTCATAACCAAACAATTTTATAAAACCGTCAATAAATAACACCAGTCATTAATCGACACCAGTTTTTTGCCGGTAAAGACAATAACCAAAACCCTAAGCGAAACAGCTCCGTACTTAAGACAATTAAATGGTGTTGAGAAATGGAATTTGACGTCACTAATCATACCGAGGAATTATTATTGCAATCCACATCACAAACACCTTTATCTTACTCAACTGTAGCCAGCAAACAACAAGAATCGACCTATCCATCCAAGCTACAAGCAGTAGTTTTTAATTCTCTTAATGATGTTAAATTAGAAGAATACTTGTTAGAGGTAGGATCTCTAGTTAGTCCAAAACACATTCTTTTTTATCAAGAATCGCCAACAATCGCATTTGTATTTATTTCTCAACCAAACAAGTCCTAGATGATCTTTTTTCAAACAGCAGAGGTTTCATCACTGTAAGTAATACACAAATTCAAGTCCGTAGACTAATTACTACAAGTGAAAGACTCCTAATATCCAATGTTTCTCCCACTAATTACTATTAAACTGGGAATAAGCCAAAATTAAAGATAAAAATAAATAAAGTAAATTTACTGTATAGAACTTTACAAATTCCGATATTAAATACCTATTCCAACTACATACAAATTCGTCCTCCTTGGACATTAAGCATTTCTCAATCCGATACATCCTTAAATACCTTCTGAAAGAAAGATACTCCACACTCCTTAATAAAAAATACTTTCATTACCAAACTAACAAAATTTTCTAAATCCTATCATATATACACAGACACTTCTAAAACATCTACTGGAGTTGGAGCAGCTGTCATTACTTTAAATATTTCACTTGAGTATAAACTACCATCTTTAAGCTGTATACACATTGGCAAGCTATACGCCATCTATCAAGCTCTCGTTCATATTAACTCCAGTGATATATCCAATGCTCTTATAATTACCGATTCCCTCAGTTCCATCAATACCATTAAACAACTGTACACGAAACATCCAATTGCTCTCCTAATCAAAAAAGATCTAGCTACCATTCAAAATAATAACTATACTGTACAATTCCTATAAGTTCCTTCAAACATTGGCCTTCAAGGAAATGAAGAAGCGGATCGTACAGCCGAACAAGCCAGGAACAGTGAAACCGCGAGTGAAGTGAGAGATGTAGTTCTTAACGATTTAAAATCATTATTTAGTAAAGTGAAAGTCGAAAATCTGTGACAAAGCCAGTGGAACAGTTCAAGTTCAAAACTTCGCGAAGTGAAAACGTTCACAAAATTGTTCACACTAATCCCATTTTATGTGAAAACTGTAATATCCCACTAAGTGTTAAGCATGTACTTGTAGAGTGCCCAAGATACCAGTTGCAGAGACAACCACATTATCGGATCAAGAAGTGAAATCTTAGGAGAAAATTGTAAAAATGAACATTTGGTAAAATTCCGTAAAGATATCAATGTATTTAACAAAATCTAACATTTATTGGAAATAAATTATCTTATGTATATGTATATATATGTCGCTAATAACCTCAGAGGTTGATGCGACTATTTTGTAAAATAAAAAAAAAGATGATAAATATTGTTTGAATGGCGTTTTTCAAAAAGAGTTGTTTACTTCTATTGTCAATGATATACGTTAAAACAAAAAATCTGTACTTACATTTTTTTCCAACTATATAATGTATAAAGTGTATTTATAACATAAACTATAGCTATAACATAAATTGGAAGAAATCTGTCATTTTTGACTGCTTTAAATTGTTCAGTTTGTCTATCTATCATATTTTTTAAAGATTTAAAAAAGTAGTATGCTTCATTTGCGTTTTGTCTTTGAATAAAGTTTCTAACAACGTGTAAAGCAGTTTCTACATCTTGCCTATTAGGACCTTCTTGCATAGATTCACCGCGATTGTCTTCTTTATCTTAATCACTTTCGTCACTGACGATAACGCGCTCCGCCGGCGGATTTATTACTTCCGCGATAATTTTACTATCCGTCAGAAGATCACAAACAATGACGACATCATCAATGGCAATGAATTCAGCAAACTCGTCATCTTTGTTCAGTTGGCTTAGTTCTTGACCATGCTGTTGTAACCTCAACCACTCTGCTACAGGATATTCATGTTCTTCCTGGTCTATCTCAGTCTCTGTCCACCCCGCATGACCAAAACATTTTCTGATGGTTTTTATATCTACGAGTGTCCATGCTTTGTGGATGAAATGTATGGCATCTAATAAAGTAACGTGGGATTTACTACGATTTTCTACACTATTCAGAATACGCTTAACTAAAATTTTTCTATAGTATACTTTAAGGGACCTTATGATGCCCTGACACATCGGTTGTAGACACAGATGTGCCATTTGGAAGTAAAAAAAGAAGTTGAACGTTTTTTAAACCGCTAACTTTCGGATGGGCTGTTCAATTGTCAACAATTAAAAGAATTTTTCGATGTCCCAACTCTCTGTCCCAATTTAGAAGTTATCTATTAAAAATCTCTGTTGTCGTCGACGATTTTTTATTAAATTTATATATGACAGAAAGGTAATTCACACCTCTGGAACACCGTGAATTTTTAGATTTCTCAATGACGACTAACTTCCTTTTTTCGGAACCAGACATGTCGGCACATACGAGTACAATTACCCTTTCTTTTGATAACTTGCCACTTATACAACGTTCATTTTTGAATTTGAGGGTCTTGTCTGGAGTAATTAAAAAAAAGTCCCAGCTCGTAGGCATTGAAAACATTATCATCTCTGTAATTTTATCTTATTGTAGGCTATGACTTCAACCAGTTGTCGATGACTTCTTTGGAAACACTTTTCGCTTTACCGCAAATTTTTTTACACCTTATTTCGTGCCTGGCCTTAAAATGGCTCATCCATCCACTCGATGCTTTAAAATCCTTATTACCACCTAGCGCCTGCGAAAACTGTGTTGTTTTTTCTTGAAACAGTGGTCCGCTTATTGGAACATTCGAAGCTCTGTTTACAATAAACCATTTGACCATTGCAGTATCGAGTTCTTTATTACTTACGGCACGCAGATTTTTCGATTAACTGGAAAAAACATCTTGTGTTTATTTTTGAGCATGGTAGATAGAGTGCAACTTGAAATTCCTCTTTCACGATAAACTTCTGCTTTCTTCTTACCGTTCTCATCAACATCTTAAAGGATGTCAATTTTTTTTCTAAAGTAAACGTTTTTCTTTTAGGAGTCATAGTGTGTAATCTATGTGACTATGTAATATACAACACAACTTACAAGATGCGAGAAGACAATCAGAAAACAAACGATAAACATCTACGACAAAAACAACTATGAAATGAAATTCTGGTGAAATTTATTTCATTTGTCATATTTTTAAACTTTACGTAGCTTATTAGGTGCAAATGGTCATACCCCTACACTGACTCTTGTAAATCATAAATTGTAAATTTCCGACAACAGAATATCTATCGGTAGATTAAACAGAAGAAGTTTATTGCGGGCGGCAGTATATAAGGGGTATTTATGTATAGCAATTGCCGGATCAAAAACGTAAGAAACACGTTTTTTGATGTTATTTTCTCTCGTTATAACCAAATTTGCCTCACTGTAGAGGGGTATAGTTCAATAGAAATTTTAAGGGACATCTAATGTAGCTCGTTATAAGCAAAATCAAGGTGTTCCTTATAGAGGGAGCATACTGTAAAGTTATACCTATATATAACATTTTAACCAAATTAATAATTATGTGAAATGCTCAATAATTTTGCAATGCTGTGAAATGGTACACAGTTAATAATCACCAATTAATAATAAAAAATGGCCTTTATCTGGTATATCAATTGGTTAATGCTAATTTTTACTTTGACTTAAAGAATACTTGAAAATGTTAAGAAAACTTTTTATATAATGGGAATCTAATATCGAGGCGAATTACCAAGGTTAGGATCGACGATTCAACATCCAAAAATATTAGTATAAGTAAAGGACCAAGGTAGGGTTTTACCTTTACTAGGAACTGCTACTTAATAAAGCTTAAGTAATTTAAATAAGAAAAAAAAAACAAGTATTTAAGTCGTTTGAAAAAAAATGTCATGGCTTTATAATATTAGAAACCGGAGAAGAACAAAAAAATGTTTACCACAATAACTGCTAATTTCCAATGTGAGAGAGGACACCTGGATAAGAAGAAAATTATCTGATAATTGAAGTTTCGATTTCTAACTTCATATTAAAAACCGATTCTTAATATAATTAATAATATTAAGATTTATTTACAAAAAAATGTAGTAATTAATATAATATCACAAAAAAAATTTCAGTAGCGCAGTAAAATATAATGAGGCAATAATAAACGATATTGTTAGAATATCTTAACTAACAAGAAATCAGATTATGTAACAATAAAACACTGAAAACTTTGTTTTCAAACTTCCACAATTTTTTTTTATTTAAGCTCTTATCACTACAGCTGTTTCGGCTAATTGCCTTTCTCAAGTGATCTTGAGGTCTCTTAGATCCCTTGAGAAAGGCAATCAGCCGAAACAGCTGTAGTGATAACAGTTAAAATAAATTTTTGTCAAAGTTTGAAAACAAAGTTTTCAGTATTTTATTGTTACATAAAATGAATTTCCATCAAGTAACGGTCGAATCCATTAATTAGAAATCAGATTACTGCTTTTTCGTTTATTTGTGGTGAAATTAAAATCTGAAAATAATGATTTGGAATTTTATTCTTTATGGCCTTCTCTTGGTGAACTATAAAAAAGGAACAGAATATGAAGAAGTTGCATGCAATTGTACAACCTATAAACTTACTCTTAAACTAAAATAATTGTAAAAAGAAATATGTGTTACCATTATCTTTTTTGACATCTTCATAATGAATATTTGGATCTATCACTAGCTTCTTAATTGATACCGGTAAGTTCAAAGCATACCTATTTTTAAAATCTAATATTTTTAATTGCATTATACAATCTATGAAACTAGTAAAATTTTCATTCCATGAAACTTTTCCTTCAGTACCGTCCAAACTACATTTTAAGATGCATTTGAATAAATTTCGGTATTGGTATCTCCTCATAAGAAACTCTTTATATATATCTGTGTTTTCCAATTTCAATTCAGCGTCAGTTTTATGTTTTATCTGAAAGTTAAAAATATTTTAACCCTTTGTTCCCCGAAATAAGATTTCTTAGAAATTTTCAAAAAAAGAGTACAAATATGATTTAAGGGATATGTAAATAGTATAAAACAATTTTTTCAAATTTTTTGCCCAGCCCCTTATAAGGAGTGGGGAGCCAAGACCTACAAGTCCCGTCAGGGAGGAGAGTTATGGTAACTTATACAACTACACAATGTTACATACTTGTTTATTGAGTAATATTGAAAAAAAAAATTTTTTTCAATTTCAATTTTTTAAATTTTTAATTTTAAATAATGCTGACATCTGTCATTTTTAGACAACTATCGTAAGTTACACTGACTGCTCTGACACAACATCCGTTCTAACATGTCAACAATGTCATTTTGATCAGTTGTTATCAACAGGTCCTCGAAGACACTTCGTCTCAGGACCATTTTACCTATGTAGGGTCATACGTCGCCATGTTACCAATTCCAACGGTAACTTAAACATCATAATTTGTATTCACATATAATGTAAAGCAACTGTAAATTTATATCATTTAAAGGGTTTTGACCCATATATTTTGGTGGCTTATAGCATGTATACCTCGTAAGTATTAACCACAATGTTCTTTAACCTTAGTCAACATTTTAAGTTCAACGTTCTTTTTAATTAAAGTGGTTATTTACTTTTAGGTTTACACTGATGATAAATTTAACAATCCGAAAACGTTTTGTAATATATTTGTGATAGCCCGTTTGGGCATTTTATTATACACCTTTTATAAAGGATTTGAAATAAATTTTTTGTGATATATGGTATACAGCCAGCTACAGGAACTTAGTTTCCTAGTGGATTTTTATTGAAGATAATTGATCAAGATAATATTGATGTCTTGGTAGACCTTTTTAACTTCATATACAAGACGTGACACATACCCAAAGAATGGCTTCTCTCAACTTTTGTAACCATTCCAAAAATCACAAATGCTAAAGATTGCAATAACTCTCGGACAATTGCATTAATGCCACACATTGCAAGCTTTCCCTAAAGTCATACATAACAGAATCTACATAAAATTAGAACAAGAAATAAGTGATTCACAGATAGGTTTTAGAAAGGGGTTAGGAACTAGAGAAGCATTATTCGGAGTCAATGTTCTGACACAACGATGTCTAGATATGAATCAGGACATATATGCTTGCTTCATAGATTTTACAAAAGCTTTTGACAGAGTTTAACATGAAAAGGTTTTTAGTATTCTTAAGACCAAAAACATAGATAGTAGAGATCTACAAATTATATCGAATCTGTATCAAAATTAGAAAGCAAGTAAAGACAAAGGAAGAAAGTATACTTAGAGGAGTTCGACAAGGGTACATACTTTCACCACTCTTATTCAACGTCTACAGTGAAGTGATATTTAAATAAGCTTTATTGGATATTTGGGAAGGTATTTTGGTCAACGGACATGGCATTAATAATATTAGATATGCGGACAATGTCATATTTGCAAGTGACATGGAAAATCTATAGTACATAATACAACATGTATACAATTCATGTGAAAAGTAAGGACTACAAATGAATCTCAAGAAAACAAAATGAATGATATTCTCAAAAAAAAACCACAAAATGTAGAAAACCTGATCATCAGTAATACAACGATCGAAAGAGTAACAACAAATATTTAGGAACGTGGCTAACCGAAGATGGGGATCAAACAAAAAAATCAGATGTAGAATAGAAATGCCAAGAAAAAAGTTCATAAAATTGAAGAACTTACTTTGCAACCGTAACCTTAATCTAAAGATCCGCACAAGAATGCTACGTTGTTACGTTTTTTTACTTTACTATACGACATGAAAGCGTGGACAATAAAATAGTTTGAAATCAAAAAATTAAACTCCTTTAAGATGTGGTGCTACAGGAGAATCCACAGAATATCATGGACTGAAAAAGTAACTAATATAGATGTGTTACAAAAAATGAAGAAAGAATGTGAAGTCAAAAAAAACTTCCAAGCTAATTAAGGCGGTCTATACTTAAAACTCACCCAGTAGATTGAGAATGAAAAATAAAACAAAAGGATTATTATAAAAGTATAGAAAATACCTTAATTTTTGTTTCTTTAAAAGGTTTGTAGGTACCTGTAAACATATTTTATAGTAATATCAAGTCGCGGCATTTTTACACTCTAATTAGGTACTAAAGACTTTATTAGGTACTAAAGAAAAAAAAATGCTTGCAATAATGTGTTCTCAAATTTGAAAATCAATGTTTTTGTCATCAAAAAAGTGGATATTTTTTGTGGAATTAGATATTACTCGTAAATCTGTGGCGGATCTGCCGAAACGTATGTACATGTGTGTAGGTGAAATTGTGAATAAAACTATTTCTTATTAAATGGACTATGACGTTATTTAATAAACTAGAATATTATACACTAACCTTATCGAAATCCTTAAGAATAAATTCACTTGACACATCTGTTGGTGTTCTGATTTTACCTGTCACGACTACGGTTCCTCCTTCATATATTTCAAAATTTCCTGATTTCCTCATTACATTAAAGACAAATTCTACATTTTTTTCTTCAGAAAGGACAACAGCACGTAAAAGCTTTATGTTTTCAAAAACCACTGGCGTTTCAGTAATGTCCATCATTTGCATATCGGCCAGAACTGTCCACAGCAGTACCTATTAAATGTTAAAAAACACGTTTAAACTTCTCAGTAAAATTAAAAAAAACAAGATATCAGCAGGTGTTATAGTTTCACCCATTAAATATTTACAAATTAGAAAAAAGAGTATAAATTTTATAACGTTATAGTAACATTACAATAATAAACCTAAAAAACGTAAATTATGCTAAAAATTAAGATAGATTGATAAGGAGCAATGATGTAAAAAATAAAAGTGTCTTTTAAAATATGTTCTTTCTGTATCATATGAGTTAGAATACATGAAGAGCAATTAAATTACAGAGTTTTATTATTAGATCTACAAAAAACAATTATAATAACATTTATTTACCAAATATCCTGCCGCTGGCATAAGACTTCTTCCGTCTATCACATGATCACCTAAATGTGAATATTTTGTATCTGATAAATTAACTAAAACTGATTTTCCAAAATAATCTTGACTTATGAAATTGGGACAGTCCCATTTAGCAGTGTGATCCCATTCTATTAGCGAAGATAAAAATTTTGTTCCTCTAGTTATTGGAACTAAACTTCTCGGGTAAAGACTTTTTAGATCTGGTTGTCCTCCAGCAATAAATATTCTAGAAATATATAAAGCAACTAACATTTCCTCATAATCTGGTTTGTATTGTTCTGAAGCTATTTTCTTGTGGCATTTTAAAGTAATTACTATTTAAATGAGAATAAGCCACAATTAAAGGTTTTTTACGACACCGTCCTTTTGGCAGGAACACTAGAAGAACTGCAACACCTTGCTGAACAACTAAATATATATTGCAACGATTATGGACTAAAAATCAATTTGAAGAAAACAAAGTTCATGGTATTTACAAAAGCACAAAACATCAAAGTTAAGCTAGTACTAGACAATACAGAAATTGAACAAATATCTTCGTACAAATACCTTGGAGCATGGATCACAGAAGATACTGATCAGACAAAAGAAATAAGATGCCGCATTGAAATTGCGCGGTCAACTTTTAATATAATGAGAAAACTTTTTTGTAATCGCGATATCAATATATCGCTCCGGATAAGAATGCTTCGATGTTATATTTTCTCTACCCTTTTGTATGGAGTTGAAGCATGGACACTTAAAAAATCCAACATTAAAAACCTAGAAGCATTCGAAATGTGGTGTTACCGACGCATTTTGAAAATATCATGGATGGATCGCAAAACAAACGAACAAGTTCTCGAACAACTAGGAAAACAATGCGAAGTTTTAAATTCCATAAAAATCAGGAAATTGGAATACTTGGGACACATCATGAGAGGTGAAAAGTACGAACTACTAAGGAATATAATGTAGGGTAAAATCAAAGGTAGAAGAAGCGTAGGAAGACGTAAAATCTCGTGGCTACGCAATGTCCGTGAGTGGTTTGGATGCAGTTCAATTGAACTATTCAGGCAAGTAACCAATAAAATTATAATTGCCAGAATGATTTCCAATCTCCGATAGGAGTGGAACTTGAAGAAGGAGAAAGGTTTTACGGGTAAATACGTTTATTGACGTTTCAATTTCCACTTCGGAAATCGTTCTCAAAATACAAACATTAGTAAATTCAGTTAGTAAATTAGTAAATGTTTGTATTTTAAAAACGATTTCCGAAGTGGAAATTGAAACGTCAATAAACATATTTTAACCTTTAATTGTGGCTTATTCCCATTTAAATAGTAATAAATTTGGTTTTTGTATTATGGTTTATTGATTTTGTTCTATTGGAATTTTATCTAAGCTATGAATATAATAATTTTTAAATTAAATAATCAGTGTTTAGCAAAAGTGCTTGTGTAGAGTAATAAATTTATATAGGTCAATGTGTGTTTTCACATATGTCGTTTTTTTTCAATCAGAGGTATCTGACTTACAACAATATTTAGCAATAAGAATTGTACATCACTAATAGAGATGTAAGATGAACGATGACCAATGTAAGATAATATGCTATTGATAGAACAAAATTTAAATTTAATAAGGATTAATATTGAAAGTAAGAAAAGTACTTACTGCAAGTAGAAAGAAACATAACATTGGTGGTTTCCAACAGATCCAATATGAGTTTTTTCATATTTATTAAATGTAAGTTAAAGTGAATTAACTTCATATACCTTTATGAAAATAAAACAAAAATATATAAAACACTTTGATATTTACTTACTTTCCAATTGCTGAAAGCAGGTACTGTCCCTGATCCTTAGCCGTTCTGTCCATCAATCGTATCAGAGTATTTTCTGAAGTGAGTTCTCGCTTCATAACTGACGTTAATAACCCGTGAGGCGATATCTCAACTACAATTGCGTTTTTATGGATATGCTTATATATGGAATTAAAATAAACTGTATTTTGATAATTGTTAACATGGTATTCAGCGCAGTCGTACTGTGCCCAAGTTTCCTTACTTTGATCAAAAGGTACTGATGTTGATATCCAATTCTCTGCCCTCTTTTGTGGATTTTTTATAAGATTTTTGATAAAATTCAGAAGATGTTTAGGTGCATCACTTAAGTATGGAGAATGAAATGCAATATTTCCAGTTTCTACTACTTTAGCAAATATTCCTTGATGAGTTAATTTATCTACAAACTCTCTTACCGATTTCTCTGGGCCTGATATTGTAGTTCCATCTGAATTGTTAATGCAAGCTATGTATATATCTTGTGGAAGTATTTTCTTTAAATTTTCGTGTGATATTCCCACAGCAGCCATTAAACCAGCAGGTATTGTTGTTTGACGGGTAGCATATCCTCTCGCGTAGGCTAGTAATACAGCTTGTTCTGGTGTTATTCCTCCGTTTGCATATGCACATCCTAGTAATGGTGAAAAATAATATTATTGTTTTTGAAAAAATTATTGCAACTGTTTTATACCTATTTCTCCCATAGAATGACCAGCCATAAAATCTGGTTTAATACCAACCGAAGTCATTACATCTACTAAGGCTACTGTTACGGCACTAATAGAGCTAAATATATTTGTAATATCCTTTAGCGAATTTGGCGTATCATCCATTATAATCTTATGTAAATCTACTCCGTGAGGTTTTAGAGCCTTGGCACATCGATTAAACGTGTTTTTAAACACATCAATATGCATAAGACCTCTTGCCATCCCCGTCCATTGACTACCTAATCCACTAAATATAAACCAAATTGGTCTCTTCGTTGATGTGCACTGTGCTGATTCTTTTAAAGGTGGCTTATCTTTACCTAAAACCACATATCTAAAACACAATTTAAATATTTATTTATAATAATATTATATACAAAAATTTTATACAAAAATAATTTACATTTAAGTTCTATTTTCCAGCTAAAAAACAGTAAGTTCTACTTTCTATTTATATTATATTTTGAACGTCCAAAATAAAATTATTTCCATCAAATATAGTAGTTAATGAGGGAATATAGTTTTGTGTTGTTTTGTGTGAATAATAACACTAATATAAATTATACATATTTTGTCTTTATAACCTTACCCTCTGTAGTCGAATCCATCTATACTTTGTTTGTATATTTCGTCTAGAAGCAATAGAAACTCATCATCATCTGCGTTTCGCTCAATCTCATCTAGAATGCGATTTATCCCGTTTTCTGTTCTTCCAGAAACCTGAACCAAACGATCACAGTTTGTATCAGTCTTTGTAACTTTCTTCACAAGAGGTGATGGTTTTAGAACAACGTGGGCATTGGCTCCACAAATTCCAAACGAGCTTGCTGCCATTAGTCCATCTTTATACTCAGTGTTCGTTTTTACAATCTAAAGCAAGCATGGTGATCAAATTGTAGCCCTTTTTTTATATTTCTATATTAGGTTTATAAGTTTGTGAAAATAATACAGAAATAAAGTGGGAGGAATTTAGTCTCTATTACACTGTTATTTCGTATAAAAAACTAATGAAGTAACGTTCATTGCGCGTATCTAAACAGTAACGGTTCATTGCACTTCCATTTAGCCCATTATATAAACATAATTTCTCTAATCCCATTTAACCTATTATACAGTGCTTTTCAGATATAGCTATCCAACTTGAATAACTTTTGACCTAATTTTTAGGAAACGCTTAAAAACACGTGAGTTAATATTTGAAGGGCGAGACATATCTTATTCAACCTTAATGGGAAAGGCATCCTCTCACTCCCGTATAATCCCTTTATTTTTTTTAATTACTTACCCCTTTTTTATTTTATATTTGGTTTTTATTTTTGGTACTGATTTTAAAAAAATAAAATACATTCGCCTTAAAGTGATTAGCTTATTAGATAGACAATTTTTCTTTTAACAAGATAGTGTCTTTCACTTTAGACAAAAACAAAATAGATTGTAGCATAATTTAATTTTTGTAAATATTTATGAGTACCATTTATAGTATCTTAAAAACCAAGAAACAAAAAACTTTTAAAAGTTTTATTAATGATTTTTAATATTTGCACCTTTATTTTAATCGGTTACTAGCCAATGACAATTTGTTACAGAGTATTTTGCATAATAATTCTGCAATAGCTGCTGCTAGAATTTTTAAACACACACAATAGAGAGGCAACTCACAAGAATTTCATTAAACTGATGCAGAAATTTAGAGCAACACGGTCAGTTTGCAATAAAAAACGTAACCGACAGGGACTCGTAAATAACACGAAGCATTTCAAGTAGCCATTTTAGGGCAAGTTAACTTATTTCGCCAATTATTGGCGAAACTGGTCGTTCCGTCAAAACTCGGATTCAAGAGCATCAAAGATGCATTTGATCAGGTCTTTTCTCCCATTCTGCAGTCACTGCCGAGAAACTCATTCCATATTGTTCGAAAAAACCCATATTATTTCTAAGGGCCCCTTCTTTTATTCCAGGAAAATCCGCGAATCTCTAGAGATCCGAAAAAATCCACATAATATCAATCGAAAGGAAGGATACCACTTGTCTCCCATCTGGAATCTCAGTCTAGAGCCGCCGTCCGGTCCCGCTACCACGATGCAGCCACATGATTGGCCAGCGCGCGCTTCTTGACGTTCGCGCCACGGAGTGTGCCGATACGTCCCGACACGACAGGTCACCGCGACTATAAATAGAGCGGTAGCGGAGTAATCGTCGGATTCACTCCCCGCCTCTCGACGCGTTAGTGTTCTGAGCTGTTGGACGTGAATCCCTGTCGTGGCATTTGGTTTTCACCTCTGGCTGCGTTGAGAAGTTGAGTTACTGTGACCAAATGCCCATCTTGGTAGTTAGTATTCGCCTCTGGTTGCGTTGAGTAACTGAGTTACCGTTGCTAACTACCCATCTTCCTGTCTTCTTTTTCTTTGTTCTCCTGAAGAAGCTACATACAATTGTAGCGAAACGTCGAGATGAACCCACTTGTGGGTCACTCACAAATGACACGGTCCAAACCCGGAAGACGAATAAACTATAATATTTTTGCTTTTTGGATGAATGCTCAAATTTAATAAATGGCTTGGTGAACAAGCAGAATTTCTGATACTGGGCTGAGTGATCCACAAAATATTTTGCGTGAATTTCTTACATAGCATCCTCAAAAGTTAAACGTTTGGTGTGGTATCCTAAGCGATCACATTATCGAACCCTCATTATATTCTTTATCACTGAAAACCTCAAAGGTAAATCGTACTTTGAGTTACTTAGGCAATGGTTGATCGAATTTTAACAATAGTAGAAAATGATGATCACGTTTACGAAGATCTGGTTGTAATTTAATATGATGTAGCTCCCTCACACTTTGTTCTACTTGTGCGACAATTTTTAAACAAAACTTGTCCTGTACGTTGAATAGGTAGAAGAGTACAGGTGATGGATTAGCCACCTAGTTCAAGGGATTTAACTCCCCTAGACTTTTTTTATGGGGGTATTTATGTTGTATGGAAGGTAATAATCATTTTAAACAATTATTGTAAAAATTTTTGTTAATGAAATTGTTTCTAATAAAAATATTTTTTTTAATTTAGTAATCTTGCTTTTGTATTTATTTGTCTCAATAACTATTGACATAACATATTACAAATACCAGTTAAATGAACGTGGAAATAATTTTAAAAAAATTAAGGGATTATACGGGTGGTAAAAGGGTGCCTTTCCCAGCATGATTAAATACGAAATAATGCCTCCCCTTTTAAATATTAATTGACGTGTTTTTGAACTTTTTCTAAAATTAGTTCAAAAGTTATTAATAAGGGATAGTTTTATCTGAAAAGCACAGTATATTATATTTAATGTGCTAAGTGGGAGCACATAGCATCAGTTCAATCTAAAAGTACATTAAACTGATTATGTGTATGAATTCATACACGAAACATTTTCAAGTCGCAAGATCCTTATTATCTTTTCCTTTTTTTTGGAAAAAGATTGAATAATTGATGGTCGTACCCTTTTTTCGAACGTTTAATTCCGTACGGATCTCGTACATCCCTTTTACGGATCTGATGGGATTGGACAATTTAGGTTGAGTAGTGAAAATGGTTTTGATGTTTGGAGGATTAAGAGGTGTCAATGATCTTGTTAGTAACACTTTTAATAAAAGGTAGAAAGATTTGGTTTGATCAGGCGGCAAAGTTTCTTTTTTGGATGGAATGCGAATGGTTTCTTTTACATGTTTTTGAATGGTCCTATTGATTTTGGTTTTGTGGTAGCCGTTTTGTAAAAGCGTTTGCCTGATTAAATTGATTTCAGATGCACTACGATTGTTGCCACTAAGTCTAATGGATCGACAAACAAAAATGTTTGAATTGAGTTGGGCGGGGTGATGATGTAATTGGGCATTGAGATAACTTTTTGTTTGGGTTGGTATCTGGTATACGAAATAGGAACAACTGTGAGATGAACAACTGAATAAGAACATCAAGGAATGTCAAAGACGCTTCAAATTTAACTTCCATCGTGTATTGGATACAGGGATGTATTTTATTTAGGTGGAAAAAGAAGAGATCTGTTGTATCGCTACCGTGGGGCCAAATGACAAAAGTGTCATAAACGTATCATAAACAGCAGGTGAGTTTGAGATTTGATGAGGACAGGGCTGTTGTTTCAGAATGTTCCATGTAGATATCTGCTATTACGAGAAAGAGGTTGGATTCTATTTGGGAACCTTTTATTTAACGATAGAAATTATTTTGAAAAGAAAAGTATGTATTAGACATACAGTGTCTTAAAAGATATAGTGTCTCTTGGAGAATTTAATGTTTAAAGTTCAAATGGAAATGGTGTCATTAATATTAATGTTGGTGAATAAAGAACAAATGTTAAAACTAACTAGTATATCTGAGGGTGAAATGTAAATGATTTCAGAAGATCAATGAAATGGAAAGAATTTTTGAAAGAAAGGTTTGTTAGAGATTTTTTGACGTCTTGAAGTAGCGTTAATTATTAAGATGGATTTGGTTGGTTTTTTTTTAGATAGGTGGAGGGACCGTTTGGGACAAGTTTGTATTCTGTGGAATTAAGAAGTTTGAATATGTTATCGAAATAGTTTAAAAATTTAAGAATGACGGTGGCATTACCATTGTCGGTCAGAGAGATGACAATGTCAGTGTTGTTATAAAGTTCTTTGAGGGCACGTCTTTCTAAAAGACTGATATTTGATGGTGGGGGTTTGGAAATATGGAAAATTCTGGCAACATCTTGTCTGGAAACTTTGGCTTTATAGGAAGGAAAATGATAAATAGGAAAGGATATGTGACTATCTGTGAAATTGCATACAAAAGTAGAAGGTTGTTGATTTGAAATGGGCTGTGGATTTTGCTGACAGATAAGTTAATTCAGTTTGCGTTTCTGGGTTTGAGTTTTGTTGTCAAAAATGTGTTAGGCTTTTTAGTGAGAAAGATGATCGAAAGTGTTCCATAATAATGGATGGATATTATAAGAGTAAATGTGATTGTAGGTTTTGAAAAGTTGAGAATTTGTTGTGTCTAAGTTACGTCGGGTGCAATGAATTGAATTTCGAAGAAGCGAAAAACCGGTCGCTCTAGGAATTTTTGAAATGGATGAATATTTAGTGTGATTTTTAATTACCCGCATCTCTAATAATAATGGCTCCAACATGAGTGCTAAAACGTCGAGTTTTAGATTCTCAACGCGGTTCTTTTCGAGAACTTAGTAATTTTCGTTATAATTTTATATTTCAGACCCCGTTTAATATAGTATATTACTACTATTTGCAAACAAATATTGTACATAAAAGAAATATTTTTTTTTGAAAAAAATCATAATAAAGATGTCAACCAACAAGAAAAACGAAACAAAAATAAATATTTACCTCGAAAGTATCTTTTCCAATTTCTAGAATTTTTTCATCGACTGGTTCTGTGTTTATGGTAGCTGGTATAACACCAGATTGCATTGCAATTATGAGTTTGGCTAAGGAAGTGACACCGGATGCTACTTCTGCGTGTCCCACATTAGATTTTACACTTCCAATTAATAATGGTTTTCTCCGTTTTCCTCGAAAAACTTCAGCAACGGATTTGCTTTCTGCTAAGTCACCCACAACCGTACCTTAAGAAAATTGTAAAATTGTATTTATTTTAAATAATGTTTGTAGATCAGAACCGTTTTCTTATCTTAACACACAACCTGGCTGCTAGACAGGTGTGCAGAAATGGAGGAATTTGAAGAAAAACATGACTACTTTAACATGCATAAACTTATTAAAGACGTGACAGGTCTTACAAAACCTTGCTGTTTTAACAGTATTGTGAAGGACAATAAATTAAGTACTGATCCCAAAGATTTACTTAAACATTGGAGAAACTATACACAGCAACTATACGCAGACACAACTAGAAGAAACTCTGAAAGTGAGTATAAAAGTGAACCCTCCCCCAAAATATTGAAGTCAGAAGTTGTAAGGGCAATCAAATAGACCAAATGGGACAAAGCATTAGGCCCAAACGACATATACATAGAGGTTCTAACAATGTTGAGTGAAGATAATTTAGACACCGTAGTAGATCTTTTTAATGACATTTATGGGTCCAGTCAAATACCACAGGACTGGCTTCAATCAACCTTTATACCAATCCCAAAAAAGCCAGACGCTAACAGCTGCGACCAATTCCGAATGATCAGCTTATTCATTCAGGTCCTAAAACTCTTCTTAAAGATAATTCACACAAGCATATACAACAGATGTGAAAGAGACATTAGCCCCACACAGTTCGGTTTCAGACAAGGATTTGACACAAGAGAAGCACTCTATAGCTTAACTGTCCTACTTCAGAAATGCAGAGATCAGCAAAAAGATGTCTTCCTATGCTTTATAGATTACTAGAAAGCATTCGATTGTGTTAATCACTCAGAATTAATAAGATTGCTTCAGAAACGTTCGATAGATGAGAAAGACCTTAAAATCATAAAGAACCTTTATATGAATCAAGTGGCACCTATGAGAGTAGGACTGGAATCTACATAATGTTTTTCAATCGAAAAAGGTGTACAACAGGGTTGTGTTCTGTCACCCCTCCTTTTTATTCTTTACTCTAAAACGATTTTCGATAGAGCCTTGTGACAGTGAAGATGGAATCAAAACCAACGGACGGACTATTAGTAATCTTCGCTATGCTGATGATACAGTCATAATAGCTGATAGCCAAGAAGCGCTACAACGACTAATAGATAGAATAAACACTGAAGGACAACGAGTGGGCTTGAAGATTAATATAGACAAGATGAAGGTCATGGTGGTTAGTAGAACATGAAATATGCAATTGAATATAAGAGTAAACAACAAGAACATCCAAAAGGTCCCCAAGTTCAGATATCTCGGTAGTTGGATAACTGAAGATCTAGATCCAGACATAGAGACACGTAGCAGGATTGAGCAAGCCAGAACAACATTTACTAATATGAGAACCTTGCTAAGCAACAGCAGCCTCAACTTTATGCTTCGATATAGCTTTGTAAAATGTTACATTTACTCCATACTGATATATGGTGTAGAAACCTGGACCATAAAGGCCAATGTGATGACCCGATCGGAGGCCTTTGAAATGTGGGTATTTAGAAGACTACTTAAAATTCCCTAGACAGATCACACAACAAATGTCTAAGTATTAAATAGAATGGGCAGAGAACGAGAATTGCTGTCAATAATAAAAAGGAGAAAAACTGCTTATCTGGGTCATCTATTTCGAAATTCCAAGTAACGGTTCTTAAAGCTTATTATGGAAGGGAAGGCATCGAAAACAAGAAATACTCATGGCTTAAAAATATAAGGAATTGGACAAATCTCGATGCCCATGTACTTTTTAGAGCCACACAAGATCGAGAGCAGTATTCCAGAATTGTTGCCAACATCCACTAATTGGATAGGGCACCACAAGAAGAAGAAGAAACCACACGAAAAAAAATTTGTCAAATTATTTTTAAACCATGCTAAATAAATTGCAATAGACATTAAAGACATTAAATAAAATAAAAAAATAAAGAGAAGTAGTAAAATAATACGCGCGAAATAAAGTTGTACAATTAAATGCATAGGTATACTGGTCAACCGGTTGATAATTACCCATTTTATACCTCAACCGATTTTTAGTAACTCTGTAAATAGTCTGTATACTTGACGTAACAATGATATAGGTCTATAATTCATTAGGTCACATTTGTACCTGTTTTTGTGTAAGAGTATTTCTAGAGTCTTGTTCCAGTCTTTAGTGATTTTGCTATAATGGAAACATCTATTAATTAACTCTGCTAGTATAAGGATTTTTTCAAATTAGTTTAAAGTAAATCTATACACAGCCATCCTCCTTTTTGTATAAATAAAAAATTAATAAACAAATACATTAAATAGTTTTATTTTTACAGATTTTAACTAAAAAGATATACTCAGATAAGAATGCTCAAGATAATTAAAAGTGTGGTCGACAGTAAACAAAATGTCAGGTAATAATATAAATATGTTTTTTAGTGCCACCATAGTCACCCCAAAGCTGTTTAGTGTTTTACAAAAGTACCCGTTAAATAAATTTAGCTATAAAATGAAAGGAAACACTGGAAGATACAACTTCATATTTGGATTCAGCGCCAGAAAGGACATGAGCATAATAAATATTTAGTAAAAACAGGTTTTTATTGTTGGCCTGTGGAATTTGTGCATTTTTTTGAAAATATGCTAAAAACTTTTGAAAAAATTAAGGGTATATTAGGTACGTACCAGTTGCGTGCATTTCCAAATAAGCCACATCATCAGGATTTATATTGTTCTTTGTGTATATATCTTTAATCAAAGTAGTCTGTAACTTGTAAGAAGGACAAGTAATACCTTCGCTCTTGTAACCATCCATATTGGCTCCTGCTCCCAATACAGTTGCGTAAATTCTTCTGCTGTTTTTCTTTTTTTGCAATAAGTAAGCACATACTGTTTCTGATCTATTGAATCCTGCTCTTTCTTTTCCGAAAATTTTGCACACACCATCTTTCATTAGTACACCCAGTTGGTTTAGTTCAGCTGCTTCTCTTGCACTACAATTTATGACAGTACCTCCAACAATAGCATTATCGATTTCTCCTGCTTTAAGTTTTTGATAGGCTACGGAAAATGCGTAGAGTGAACCGGAGCAGGCTGAATCCATGGCAAAACTCGGACCATTGAAGTCAAAGTAAAAAGATATTCTGTTCGCTGTGTGGTAGGAATTATTAATTATATAATAGTATTCATTGGCATCCTTTGGTAATTCCTTAGAGTTAAACATACCTACTGCGATGAAGACTCCTAAAATATCAAAAAAATTTTTATATTATTAGTGTGATTCTATATCATATATATATATATATATATATATATATATATATATATATATATATATTTGAATGATATATGTAAGTATAGGGTTTTTATCGCGGTTCTCAAAGAATTAGTTTGTAAGTACTTTTTTAAATTATCTTTATTATAACTATTATGAAACAAACCTATCTATCTAATATAAGCAATATCAATTTAAAACAATCTATCTAAAATTTGAAATTCTTACAATTATTAAATTATTAACAAAATTTGGTACCTTCTTTCACTGAATGCCTAAAGTTTTACCAAAATTAAAGTTATTATCACCACTAGATATTTTCTTACTCAGCCTTGGTTATCCAACTATTTTAATATGTTCCTTCTTAATTATCTCCACTCACCATATAAATATATAAATTTAAATCCTTGTAATTTCCATATAATGTACTTTCAAATATACTGGATCTTGTGGTTGTATTATTGAATGCTTACTTCAATGAATTAACTTCAAAACTGTCACTATATTACTGTAGTAATAATTAGCCTCAACTGTATTAGACTTAATAATTCATTTAACTTAATCAATCCCTTCTTCTAGCTAATAATCTCTTCATTACCTCATAAATTCTTGTTAATTATTATTTGTAATTAATAATCACATGTAATTGACTTAATAATCCTTGAATTGTTATACTAACTCCTCAATAATAATCTTCTTGTAACTAAATTCTTGAATTATAACTTTACTGACTCACTTTACTAACTGTAACTAAATAACTAACTGACTTCTAACTGATCATACTGATAACTGAACAGGTAACTCAACTCTAACTGACTTCTCCTCCAAATTACATGGCTTTTTATATCTTTTCATTGTTTCCAGAATATTCTAGCAACAAATAATGTTCGAATCATTCTATTTTTTCTATTTGAAAATTCTGGAATAAAATGGAATCGTTTTTTGCCTATGATGTATTATGTAAATAGTCCTATTGACATTTCTAGAATTCTCTATATACAATTTACTTGACCTTAGGCTCTCCAGATCAGAACTACACTATTATATGTAACTGAAACATTTATATTAAATATATTTTTACTATTTTACATATGTAATTTTATTTTAAATTAAAATTATCAAAATAAACATCTTTTTGACTTTGACACTACAGTGTATGTTTGGTTGCATATGTACATGGCTGAATAAACATATCTAATATTAAATAAAATAAAAAAAAACTTCTTAAACTTAATTCTTATGCTAAATTCTTAAAAATACTCTCATATAATTATTTTTTTATAATATTATCCAGTATACAACTTATAAATTATGTCTTCAACCACCATCTAAATAAATTTCTTAATATTGTATATCTGGTTGTATATATTTCTATGTTAATTTTTCTATGTTATATATATAGTTATATATATATATATATATATATATATATATATATATATATATATATATATATATATTAGTTGCTTATACCTAAACGTACTGTAATGTCTTAGTTATTCGTTAAGAAACTCTCACATTGAATGAGAATGAGAATATGGAATTCAGATAGTAGGCTTTTATCAATTTTCGGAACTTAAGAACAGAAGACGAAGATTTAAGTTGCGAAGGAAGATGTTTGTATAATTTTTTTACCGAATACAAAATAGATTTCTTTACTAACTCAGTGGACGTGATCGGAAATACACATCAAAGTTGAATTTTTGGTGGAGCAGTCATGATTAAGCCTTGCTGTAAAAACATGTTTAGGAATGAAGCAAACAATTTCTAAAATATGTAAAGAGGGAAGAGTTAAAAATTTCCTGATTTTTGAAGTAGATTCTTCTGTGTCTTAATCTACTGAGGCCAAAAAGATACCGTATTGCTCTTTTTGTAATTTAAAAATAACATCAGATTGGGCAGCTGTACTAGAACCCCAAAAAGGAAGGTAATATCGAAGATGAGACTCTAACAAAGAAAATATGCTATTTTGGAAAATGGTAAATTAATTTCCTTTGAAACAGATCTTATTGCACAGTACGCTGAGACTAGCTTCTTACTTAACAAGTGATTGCTTATAAAGACAAAGAAGTCGACATGCCTTAAGTAACTATACAAGTAATTGTAGGGCTTTCCCAAAAATTATAGTTTTTGACTGATTTTAGGTGAATAGAGTTAAATGTTTACGATAATAATATCAAGACAAAACGAAATAGCATATTCAGCTTCTTCTTGACTTCTAAGAAGGAAGATAGATTGAATTGTTATTGATATACCATACTGATAGCTATAGCTAAACTAAAACAAGTTTTTGCTTAGAGCGAAGAATTATACTTTGTTCTACGTTATTTTTATAGTTACTTTCAAGTAAAGTTAGAAAAATATTTCAAATGGACAATATAATGCCTTTGGAAATTACAAAACATAAATTATTACCTGTATTGGTTCCTCTTAATTCTTTGGGATTATAACCAGCGTCAATAATAGTTTCAAAAGTCACCTCCATTAAAATCCTTTGTCGAGGATCCATAAAATTAGCTTGTGCGGAATGCATTTCGAAAAACTCTGCGTCAAATTTCTCAATATCTGGTACTTTTCCGGTCGTATATGGTACATCCTTGCAAGCTATAACATTTTTATTGATTTAAGTAATAGGTATCTACATAACAACGGTATTAGGGTGTTATGTAAATAAATTAAGGCTGAAGCTTGTAAGGCCAAGACATACATCTATTAATACCCGCTATATACATATAAATTTATGATAATAGTAATAGTCCTCTTTTATAGCGCTTGCGAAGCTTTGAGATTATAGCTATTATGTATTTTGTTATCTTTTGGGCATACGTTATCCAAGGATGGTAACGTGGCCAGTGCTAAGCTTCAACCCCCTATTATTACCGCTGGATTTACCCAAGGTAAATCCAGCACATCATGGAATATGTCAATAATATGGCGTACGTAAAATAATAATTGAGGAGAATTGTATGAATACTGCAATCAAAAAATAAAGTAAATTATAAGAACATGCAGACTAAAACTACGTTGATCTTCTTAACGTACCATACACCAAAGTGAGTAGGCGACTATCTCATTACTAGAATTCTGTTCTTGGCGGCGTGACACAGCTCGCCTGTATTGTGTATTCCTGTCCATTCTTTAATATTCCTTAACCAGGATAATTGTTTGCGGCCGGCTCCTCTCCTACCTTCGATCTTCCCTTGTAGGAATAACTGTGGTATTTCATATTTTACTCCTCTCAAAATGTGCCCAAGATAACCAATCTTGCGTTTTTTAATTAATTTAAAGAGTTCTCTTTCCACGCCGGCTCTCTTAAGGACGTCATCGTTTCGAACTCTATCCACCCAAGGTATGCGCATCATTCTTCTTAATGATCACATTTCAAATGCTTCAAATTTGTTGATAGATGTTTTTTTCAAAGTCCACGTTTCCATGCCATAGAGCAAGATGGACCATATGTAGCACTTGACCATTCTATAGCGTATTTCGAAATTTAGGTTTTGATTACATAGAAGCGGTCTGAATTTCACAAAAGCTTGTCTTACCATTTGTATTCGGGTTTTTATCTCGTGTTGTGGATCCTATTGGTCATTGATTGTGGTGCCAAGGTATTTAAAAGTTTTCACGCGTTTTATACGATCGTCACATATGCATATTATCGGGTTTTCTGGAGAGTTTCTGCTAATGACCATATATTTCGTTTTCAAAATTTTGACTTTGAGGCCATATTTTTTACCTATGCTATTCACCCTATCAAGTAATAACTGCTGATCTTTCAAATTATCAGTTATAACCACTGTGTCGTCCGCATAGAGTAAGTTTGTAAAGATATAGAAAATGATAAAATTCGACGTAAAGAGATTATTAGATGACCTAACATCCAAACTGATTTAATAAACAGGATATAGCATAAAAAGTAGAAGGGAAAAAGTCTAGATTTACAAAGATTTACAAACCTCTGAAACAGTAGTGTTAGTGATAGTCTATATATATTCTTACCTCGTGGAAACCTTCTTTCATCTTCAGTAAGTAGTATCTTATTACTTAACAATGCTTCTTTAAATTCATCTATACTTTTGCATTCTGGAAAGCGTCCAGATACTCCAGAGATTACGATATCTTCACCATCAGCCATTACAGAACCAATAGTGTTTACCTGTCAATATAATGCGTATAACTAATTATATTATAATGTGCTTGTATAAGATATGGGATATTCCAATTCTCTCGATGATAATATTTACCAATAAGAATAAAAGTTTAATGAATTTTCTTTTAGGTTATACCAATCAAAATAATTATTATTGAGTGATAAATAAATTTATTATACAGCTGATCCTTATTTCATTTATTTTCTAGTGCCAACACACTAAAGATTTCATTGAAATCTAAAACAAATTTAAATCCAGGACTAAACCTGCAATCCGCTGTTAAAAATATAATCACAAATAAGTAAATTATGTAGCAGGAAAATACTGATACACGAAATAAATAGGAGATTTAAAAAAAAAAATTTAAGTCCGCGCCCTCGGTCAAAAATATATGAAAAACTTGTTTTAGAGGAGACAAATCTAGTCTACGACAAACATAATAAAACAAGGTTTTGAAAAAATTAATCTCACTCTAGAAACTCACATTTAGAAAAAGAAGAATACTTAAAACACCTGAGATTAAATAAATGAAAAGTGTGTACAGAAATACAAATAATAAACGTTATAGTTCATAACAATTGGATCTTATGAACGGCGCAAAAATACCGCATGCTCAACTATAATAGTTTTTATATACCTTGATCTTGTCATAAAACCTCCTTCCAGAATAACTAAGTCAGTACGGGCATCGAAACCTATACCAGCCCAAACCATAACTGAACCTCCTGGATTATTCTGAGGTTAATAATTCATTGGGAAAATCGTTCTCATTGTCTTTTTCAGATTCTTTCGCGTCCATCTGGTGTCATTAAACAAACCTGGACTCATCCAAGAACAAAACATTACGTCAATCTGCGTAATTCAAATTTTCGTGTTCCCTTGAAAAGGCCCAAATTCGAGCTTTGTAGTGTTCCACAGATATCGGTGGTCATAAAGCAGATAGCGGTGGTCATGAAGTCGTCGACGAATTGTTCACTTATTTACATCTGCATTTCGGACTTCATTCAGGAGACTTACTAGCTCAATCGAAGCTAACTATTTGCATTGCTTTCGTTGTTTGTTCTCTTACATCTGCTTCAACGTCACCATATACTGATGCCATAGTCTATGCCTAAGAATTTAAATTACATTTTTTGTTAAACTAATGTATCCATTTATCTCGAGTTTATAACTTAAATATTTTGATGTTGAACTAAGTAAGTTTATCCTATGTAATTCGTGGAAATCTTTTTTAAATAAAACTATGGTTGTACCAGTTTTCCACTTATTCGTAATTCTATGTTGTAGAGGATATGCTGAATTAATTGTGGGATTTATTGTATTAGATTCTGTCCTCCATACTTTAGCAAATAATTTGGGATTCCGTCCTGACCGATGCTTTTTCTATTCTTTAGTGTGTGGAGGGCTTATATGTCATGCAGTTGGATTTTGATTTTAGTATTATTTCTGGTGTCTTTACAACTGCTTCGTGACTTCTTTGTTATACAGGTTTTGTTCTGTTTTTTTTACTTCTTAAAGAAGTAGAATATTTTTCCTTTGACAGATTTCTTTTTAAGATCACGAGCAATAATACTGTTAGCTACATACCATGGAATTTTTACGATAATCCTTAGTACTTAAGGACTAAAATCTTTGTTTTATTTCGATATTTGAGTGGGATGCTATTCCCCTCAAACTAAGTTTTAAACCCAGTTGCTTTCTCTTAGCAAATATATGTGTCCTTCAAGTAATCGTCGGTCGAGATGGATTCTCAGAAGATATTTTGCATCTTCTCTTTGTTGCAAGAACTGACTATTTTATGCCATATTTAGACGGGCAGCTCCTCTCAGTGTGTAGGTGACATCAATAAATTAAATTGTATTTGTTTAAGTTGCCAGGTTTCTATCTTAGGACAAATAACATCAAAGTGAGTCTTTAAGGTTTGAGAAGCAAGGACAGGATGTGTGTAAGATATGGACAGGATATGTTGTGTGTGTCACAACAGCGATATCATCTGCGTATGTTGTAATGACTATCATATTAATGGGCAGATCATCTGTGTAGCTGTGTATAGAAATTTGATTTTGTCTTGATACCTTACTTAAAAGTGTCTGTTTTGAAAGTAGCGTTTAAGGATAAGAAAAATATTATTTGGTAAGCTTTTTATGATTTTTGATTGATATGAGGTTGAATGCTCGAATAAATGAACTTTGAAAATTAATTCAATTATATTGAGCACAAGTTTAATCAAATCTTGCCCAAGTACTTCCATAATATAGCATCTTCCGGGGCATTTCGTCAAATATGGGCTATCCAGCAAACGTAGAATGTGATGAACATGAATATTAACATAAAATTGTACAAACACTACACCAAAACAAGGAGAAACAGTTTAAAATTAGTTAAAATAATTCTATGCTCTACATTCTTTGGGGGTAACAGGAGAGAAAGAAAGAAAGAAAGAGAGAGAGAAAGTTATATCATTCTCTCTCCTGTTACCGCCAAAGAATGTAGAGCGTAGAAATATTTTAACTAATTTTAAACTGTTTGTCCTTGTTTTAGTGTAGTGTTTGTACAATTTTATGTTAACATTTATGTTCATCACATTCTACGCTTGCTGGATAGCACATATTTGACGAAATGCCCCGGAAGATGCTATATTAAGCGGAAGTACTTGGGCAAGATTTGATTAAACTTGTGCTCGATATAATTGCCTTAATTTTCAAAATTTTATGATTTTATTTAATATTCCATCATCAAGTAGTGTTCATGATTTTCAAAGGATATATATATATATATATATATATATATATATATATATATATATATATATATATATATATATATCATCATCCAGCCCCATTTTCACATCCATTGTTGGATATAGGCCTCCTCCAAACATCTCCTGTTCTCTCTATCTCTAGCTGCTACAAATCCAGTTTGTTTGTATTCTGCTTAGGTCGTCAGTCCATCGGGTGGGTGGTCTGCTTCGACTTCATTTGTCGGCTCATGGTCTCCAATAATCTCTTCGTTCATCTTCCTTCTTCCATTCTAGCAACATGTCCAGCCCACCTCCACTTTTGTTTATTGATTCGCAATATAATATCGTCTACGCTAGTTCGCCGGCGTATCTCCTCATTTCTCACGCGATCTTTCATGATCAGGCCCAGCATTGATCTCTCCATTCGCCTTTGTGTTACCCTCAGTTTTTCGGCAGTAGCTTTCGTTAAAGTTAGGGTCTCTGCTCCGTAGGTCAAAACTGGTAAGATGCATTGGATGAATGCCTTTCTTTTCAAGTGAATTGGGATATTTGTTTTAAAATTGTCTCTCATCCTTCCATATGCCGCCAATCCCAATGTAATTCGTCTATTTAGCTCGCATGTTTGGTTGTCTCTGATTATTCTAATTTCATGACCCAAGTATGTGTATTTATCGATTAATTCTACCTTGTTGTTATTGATCTGTATCTCTTCGCTGGGAACCATGTTGGTCATCATTTTGGTTTTCTCGAAATTTATCTACAGCCCAGTTTCTTGTAGTATGTCATTCAGTTCTTGGAGAATGTCTTGATCTCTCCCAGATTATTTGACAGAAGCACGATATCATCCCCAAAACGTAGATGGTTTAATCTTTCTCCATCGATGGATATTCCTTTCTGTTGCCATGTTAGTCTTTTAAATGCATACTCAAGAACGGTAATGAACAGCTTTGGTGACATGGTATCACCTTGCCTGACTCCCCTTTTTATCTTTATTTTATTAATTGCAGAATGTAGACTTATGGTTGTTGTGGAATTTTCATAGATATTTTTAACTATATTACAATATCTGTGGTCGACCCTGCAATCTTGTAGTGCTCTTAAGATGGACGGTAGTTCCATTGTATCAAACGCCTTTTTAAAGTGTACAAATATCAATGCCAAGGGACGGATATATTCGTTAGTTTTTTCTATCAGGGTTTTTAGGTACTGCAGGTGATCGTTTGTGTCGTAATTAGGGCGAAACCTGGCTTGTTTCCGAGTTTGGTAAAAATCCAGCTTTGTCTCTAGTCTGTTCGTTATTATTAGGGTGTACAATTTATAAGATGGTTAAGGAGACTGATTGGTCTGGATCTTTCCAGGTCTGCCATATCTCCCTTCTTATGTAAGAGTACAGTTATTGAATTATTTCACTTTGTTGGGATATCTTGATTCCATAGGCATAGATTAAAGAGCTTTTGCATTTTGGCTATCAGTACTGAGCCCCCTATCTTTATCGCTTCCGTGACGGCACCGTCCTCCCCCGGAGCTTTGTTATTCTTCACTTTTTTTAGAGCCTTGTAAATCCAAATCGAGGGTTAGGGAATAATTAATTTTTTTTTCGAATTTGTTTTATTTTCTCTATAAGCAAGGATATTGTGTGCTTAGTAGGTTTACTTAGCTTGGGGATTAGTGTAATTTGGGCTACCTTCCACCAAAGCGAAAAGTACCCTGTCTTTAAAACAGCATTTTATATTTCTATACAATATCTTAGTCCCTTATATAAAAGTTCATTTAGAATTTTTGCACTAATTTAATCATATCTTACAGAATTTTTTTTTGGATTCAACATATGTATGGATCTTGCGGTATGGTTATTGGTAATATTTTGAATAGGTGGTTTCAGTTGATAGACAGTTTGCAGAAATGCTTTCACTTTATCTTCAATGTCAAGTTATTTTGAGCGAAATATGGTTTAAAGACTTTTTTTAAGTCCTTGGTAATACCATTGACCAGCATTACTTTTTTCCAGTGACCAGATCTTCCAGATTTTAAGTAGATATAGGAGAGTTTCAAAATTGAGCCTTTTTAGTTTTTTTTACAGCTTTTTATAAATCAAAGTCAGTAGCTTCTAAAGCTGTTAAGTTTCTAAGATAGTTTTAAGTTTTGTTGTTTTTATTAGTATTTAGTAAGGTCTTGACTTCTAGGGTAGTTTGATTTAATTTCGTTTTGTCTGCAGGAACATGAGCTCACTGCCAGATTTTCTTTGTTTTTCATTTCTCAACTATTTTTTGTTTAAATACCAAAGGCAAATATTGAGGTAGGCTAGTTGATACTTGGCTTGGATATCTGTCCTATATCGCTTTCTGTATCGTTATTGATAAATGTTTTACTGTGTTCTGTATATCAACAATGTTTTTTAGAGAAATACAGAGAGCCAAAAAGATAATCAAATATTCACGAGAATATACCGAACATTAGTTAGTTTACCTACAACATGTGCATGCGAGATGTGGGTACTCAATAAAGTTGAACAAGAATGGTCGCTGTGGTCACTAACGATGATCTTAAGTAGGATAGCAATAAAAAGTAGAAGAAGTGAAAGACTGAGGGAAAGATGGATCGAAAAGGTGAGAGTAACACACAGAAAGTAGGTAACTTAGACTGTAGAGCAGATGCAGCAGATAAAAGACGACGGAACGATATCGTGAAGAGAATTAATAAAAAATATCATTAAAAAAATAAAATTAATTTAAATGTGTCCTTTTGTCCAAGGTCAAGACTAGTAATATACCGTAAATAAATCAAATAAAAAGTGCAATAAAAAACAGTAGACGGAGTTTTTACGTCACATCATCTATTTTTTTTTGAACGCACTAATCATAATTATTGTAAATATTTCTTTTCTTTATCTCACACTTAAATTGATCTGTTTCTACCACATTCGCACCAAATTACAGCTTCGCTAACGTTAAATTATACAGTGGTTTCGTGATTCCAGGTATTACAAATGATTATTGTACAACAGCATTGAACTGTGCAAAGAGCAATTCAGCCGTTTTCTAATCTTCTCTGAGTATGTTTTATAAAGCATAATTATTTCTCCCCCGTTTTTCAGCCTATTTCCGAAATCCAGCCCGAGTTTTCCCTTCAATTTGTTTGCCTCGCGTTTTCTATCCAATTTTCAGCCCTCCTAAATCTGGCGGCCGTCGAATCTATTTTTAAAACGGCTTTCCCGATAATGATCTCATTAAAATCCATCACTACAATAATTCGTCGAAAAGACCCTCCAATAATTAACAAAAAAATTAATGATGATATGTTTTGTTTATAATATTTATTGATATAAAGCGTATATATTGTATATGGTTAATACAATATAGTTGTACTTAATGCTTATAAAGCAATACAATGCTTATTTCTTTTAATGATACTGGATTAGGTTTTGATTTCTATTAATCATTTTTTCCTTTTGGTCAAAGACCACCTTTGAAATGTGTTTCTTATGTCCCTGCCTACACTTGTGTTTGCCCTGTATATTCTGAATATTTCTGGACTTTCATCTAATGTATATTTGTAATATAATGTACATATTGCTTTCCTTTAATAAATTATATATTTAATTATTAAGATTTAGTCACTTTAGTTGTCTAAAATGACCGACAAAAATAGTTATTTCTTATTGAGCCATATTTTATGATTATTATAAAGCGTTCGATACAGTAAAGCACGACAAGATGATGGAAATAATAAAAAGTAATAAAATAAACACCTGTGATCTAAGAAAAAGAAATCTTTACTGGAATCAAATATTGTCTATCCTTACAGAGGCAGAAGAATCCGATAGGATTATAATCAAACGTGGGGTCGGACGGATGTATACTATCACGCTTGTAGACATCTTTTAAGAAGCAGTAAAGGATGTCGAAGCCAGAATTCGAAGACTCCAAAAATGTATTAATAACATCAGATACGCAGTTGACATGGAGGTATTTGCTTATCAAGCCCTCCAGGAGTTAACGAATAGAATCACAGAAGTGAGTTAGAGATATAGACTTTCATTGAACATTAAGAAAACAAAATGTATGATGATCTCTAAAAAGGAACAGCAAATTAAAAGAATTAGTATGAAGAGTCAGCCAATAAAAATACCAAAAACATACACGTACCTTGGTACGAACGTCAATAAAAATTGGGACCATTCCCTAGAAATAAAATAGAGGATAGAGACAGCAAGATCTGAATTTTAAAAAATGGCTAAGCTATTAAAATGCCATGATTTATCAGTACCCATTTGTAACGAAGATATTTTACCTACCACACGGGGCAATATTATGGGGATAGAGAGAGGGCAAAGAAAATAATCGCTACTTGTGCGAACGGCACTCAGGGTTTTGTTAGGATAGCTGGGGTCCTGGATAAGTAAAAGATATTTTGTAACGAATTATTATTTGGGTTTTAAATTGATCACTCTGTGTTTTAATACGAACAAATAGGAAACTACAATAGACTAAAAAATATTCTGCGATTTTTCAAACATTTATGAGGGGATTTTAATATATTACATATACGAGGAGATCTCAGTATATTTCAAATCAATTAATTGCAAATGCTACATATTAAAATCATGTTACGATGATGTTATATCTTTTCTATTCTGTTGTACGGAGTTGATTCGTCGACTCTTACAGACACTACCTGCAAGAAAATTAAGAATTTTGAAATGTGGCTTTATCGTCGAATCCTGAAGATATCCTATCTCGACCACGTTACTAATCAGGACGTTTTAAATATAAATGCAAAAAGTAAAATAGTTATTAACTACAATAAAAACAGCCAAAATCGAATATCTTGGTCACATCATGAGGAACAGCGAAAGATAAGAGTTGCTGCAAATAATTCTACAAGTTAAGAAAAGTTAAAGTAAAACGAGTACTATGAGGGCGAAGGATTTCCTGGCTGGAAAATCTACGTACGTGGTTTAACATAACACGCATAAATCTTTTGAGAGCAGCAGTTTGCAAAATATAGATTGACATGATGGTCGCCAACATCCGGAACGGTTAGGCACTACAAGAAGAAGAAGGGCCATATTCAGCATTACATAGTTTTATTACATTAATAGTTGCTTCTAAATAGTTCCATATTATCCACATTTACTTTTACTATAATGATTGTTTCGTTCAGTACATTTTTCGTAAGGTTAATATTGAATTCATTAAGTTAAGTTTCTTGAGTAAAATTAGTTTTGATTTTACTTCTTTACTTTACTCTGTTAAAATCACTGATTTCAATATTCAATACTTAAATGTTATTTCATGATAGAAGCGAAACTATTCACCATAAATAAACGTAAAGCACACCTTATCCAAATAAATCAAACAACAAAAAATAAAGAAATAGCTAAGGAACGAAGTACTCCTAGCTAGTAATTAGAAGACACCTGAGTAAAGTTCAATTTGGATTCAGAGCAGGACTCGGAAGGAGGGAAGCACTTTATAGTTTGCAAATTCTAATACATAGAGCCAGAGATGTCAACTGCGATGTGTATGCATATTTCATTGATTTTGAGAAGGCATTTGATAAAGTTCCACATACGAAACTAATCGATATTCTAAAACCATCAGCACTCGATGGTAAGGATATAAGACTGATCTAAAACTTATATCTCCTACAAACAGCAACAGTATTATTAGAAAATAAACTGTCCGAAATATCAAAAATAATGATCATTAGTAAGAACACCGGCACAAACGCCCAAATTACAATTAACGATACACCGTTAGAAAGAGTGGAAAAAATGTGTTATTTATGCTGCAATATTAAGGACACTTAGGATCACAATTGCGAAATAAAAACTCGTATTAAAAAAGCCAGAAGCTCTTTCAACAGCTTTAAGAAAATTCTCTGCAACTCATCTTTAAGTATCAATATACTCATAATAATCTTAGATGTTACGGATTTAGCGTCCTCTTTCCGTTATGAAGTAGAAACCTGGAGCCGTGCAGAAGATGCTATAAAACGATTGGAGGCATTTGAAATGTGCTGTTATCAACGTATGTTGAGGGTCTCATATATACACCACACAAGTAATATAACTATTCTCCAGAGACTAAGAAAAGACAAAGAAATTATTAACACCATTAAAAACAGAAAATTGGCTTACTTCGTCCACATTATGCGTAATGATAAATACCGACTTCTACAGGGCAAAATTGATAGTAGGAGAGACCCTGGACGTAAACGTATATCATGGCTAGCCAATCTTACGAAGTGGAGTGGTCTAACGTCAACTGCTTCATTTCGAGATGCTGTGAATAGAATAAGATAGGTAAATGTAGTCGCCTACATCTCTAGAAAATAGGCACATTTAGAAGAAGAAGGAACGAAAATAATATCAAACGAATTAACTTAAGTAATAAAAATTAACTAAAATAAAAAGTGGCGGAATGCAGCCAATAGAACAGATCACAAGTATTTTTAGTAAGATATCAATATTGTCGAAAATACAAAAGGAATGGACGATTATAATGATATGCCTCTTTCAGAAAGTTTAAAAAGATGACCCCAGTAATGGGTACAAAAACGTATATGTAGGGAACAAAAAGTAAATTTAGATAGCAACTTAGTAAAGGCAGACACAATAAAACTTATTGAAATAGCAACTGGGATTATATACGGAGACGTACTAAGTTTAATAATATCTAATGTACTATTGGCGATACAATATGTAAAACGAAATACAAATATGCCATGTGGGAAACCAGCAAATAAAGGTAGTATGATATGCAGAGGATCCTTTAAATACTGGAACCAAGGAATTCAACATAAAAATATAACCACAAAAAAACCAAAAATTCTAGTAATATTAAAAGTACCAATTAGGTGCAAATTTGAGTTTGACAGCCAAATAGTAAAAGTAGTAATGACATTTAAATATCTTGGAATCAAGTCATTCCGTGACCATAATTTTAGGTAAGAAATGAGAGAACAACTGACAAAAACAAGCAGAGAGCGGGGTGCCTTGAAGACAGAGCATGGAAAAATAAATAGCTAAAAATATAGACAAAATTTGATCAGTTTATTTAATTATTTAGAAAGACGAGATTTATAACAAGCAGTTAATTACAAATATACAAGGCATCTATAAAATAACTTTTAAGTACTAGAAGCAAACATGACATAGATTATTAGTGCAAAAAATCAGTAAAGAATAATAGAAATAATAGAAATTAAGTATAATCGTTTGTACCTACCAAAATCAAAAAGCTGCACCTAACCCTTGCTAATCTGCTAAATATGTGGTGTCACTAGAACTCCTAATATGTAAACTAAAATGAAAACTTAGAGTGAGACAAAAGTATATATACGTCGTTTTTTAGTTCAAAGAAAACAATGAGCCCAGACATTAATGCAACCAGCCATAACAATAATTTAAAGTTGACAGAAGCAATAGTATTATTAAGGTTAAAATATCTTGGCGTATCCACCAAAATGTATTTTAATGAAAAATAGCAAGTTTGGACCCATGCTTGAATGTGAGAACACCTTAGATTTTGAAATCTGAAAGCTAATGTAATAAATTTAAAATCAGTAATTTTTTTACAAATTAGTGGATAACCACGATGTCAAAAACTATTACTACCACACCGCTACAGTTTTAATGATACTTATATCATTTAATTAGTGGTATTGATTAAAAAACATCTATTCGTATTACATACAACGGCATATAAAATAAATCTAGTCGTTAGTGGAACTTAATAGGTACTAGTAATATCAAAAATTATAGGCATAATAGTTGGTGAATGCACTATTGTTTTTCTCCTTAGTTAACAAAAGTTACTTAAAGGATATGATAATATCTATTTTAATTGGTTCATAAATAATAAGTATCCAAGGTGTTGCATTTTTTTATTATTATAAAACAAACACAATTTAAGTGTTTTCTCGCAACCTTCGAATCTCACATTTTTTACCTAAATATAATTACAGAACAGGAAAAATATCCTTTTAAATTTTTTTATTTTATTATCATTTAATTGTGGTGTTTTTTTTGACCCATGTAGAAAGTTATTTGTTTGTAGTTATTATTAGATTGCTTATCTTAGTATACTCTTTAATAATAACATAGAAGCAACATTAAAAAGCAACAAGAATTATAAATGTTTTAGCGAATTTAGCAAATATGTAAACCTGTAAATTATCTTTCCTTCTTTTCTTAATTTATTTTACCCCCTAGAGTCTTAGATTTTTTGTTGTGTTGGTATTTTATCGTAGTTTTTTTTTAACACGTGGATTACGATCTTAATTTTTATTAAAAATGTATGAAATGCTGAACTAACTAAATGGCATTAGTTGTCCCATTCTGTGGCGATTTCGAAAACAATATATAACTTTCCGTTTTTATAATTTTTACGCTGTACATTCATTTTACAATATTTTTTTTATTTTCTAGGTAAGCATCTTTGCAGTTTAAAACAAATGTAAGTTATAATAATCATATTTAATTATGTTTGTTATCTTTTTATCAAGATCAATCGTTCTATTAAGAAGAATATTTTAAATAGATTGGTTACTGCATGTTACAAACATTCGTGAAAATAAAAAAATCTTTTTAACACTATTTTTAGTGCTCTCTCTCTCTCTTTCTCTTTCTCTCTGGTTTTATCTCTCCTTGTAGAGTATTGGGTGCTTATGCGTTTGTTGGCCAAAAGTGTAAGATTTCTGACTGGCCGGGCCAGCGCATCTTCTTTCTTATTTATTCTGTAGTTAAAATGTGTACTAATTCATTCCATTCTCTTCTATGTTTTGCTCTATTTTTTATTTCACCCCGTTTTATTCCTATTTTTTGTATTCTCTCTTTGTAGTTCTATTTACTTTCATCTTTTCTCAAAGTCAATCCATTTCCATTTTTTTTCTCTGACTGTAGAAGATATGTTGGTATGCTTTGTTTTTTCCCATAGTTTTCTATTAGTTATTCTGTTGGGCCAGTATATTTTCAGGATTTTTAATAAACATTTGTTTACAAAAGTTTGCAGTTTTTTATTTGTGAATTCGTCCTGTTTTTATGTTTCTGTTCCATAGAGTAGTATACTTTTAAAGAAACTATTAAAGATTTTAATGTTTGTTGTTTTTGATATTTGGTTTGTGTGCCAAATTTTATTTAAAGGGATTGGATGCATGTTAAGCGCTTAATATCCTCGTCTGTATATCCTTTTTACACAACCCGTTTCTTTTCATAATTGATCCCAAACATGTGAACTTGTTTACCTCTTCTACTTCCTTACCATTTATCATTATTTTAATATTTGGGTGATTATTATTTTTTAAGATTTTGGTTTTCTTTGTGTTTATTCTCAGTCCAATCGTGTCAGAGTGCTGTGCTTTTTAATTTTTGTTTAAATATTACTTCGGTGTTTATTTAGTAGGCAGATGTCATCCGAAAATTCGAAACCTTATAACTATTTGAATAGGTTTCATCTGATGCCTGTTCGATCATCAGCTACTTTATTATTACCCAATCTATCATAATAAGGAGTAGGCTAGGAGATAGTACACAACCCCGTTTGTCTCCACTTTCTATGACTATTTCTTGTGTTACTTTACCAGAGTGTTCTCAAAATTTAAAAAAATATTGACGTTAGCTACACAGATCTCTAGTCATATTTCCATTAACTATTTGTAGAAAATTTCCTTTTAAGCATTTAGGAAAATAAATTTAAAGCATACAAAAGAAGAACGCCGCAAATACACAGCGTATTTTAATTATAAACTGCTATTATTTTTTATTTATAATGAAAAGGTAATATGTATCTCTAAATGGACATAGATTTTACGTAAGTTTAATTATCATCCAGCCTTCATTTTTCGCTTCCACTGCTGGACATAGGCCTCCCTTAAACTTATCCATTCTTTACGATTTTGTGCTCTTTGTTGACAATTTTTCAGCCCAACGTGTACGTGGTCTTCCTCTACTACGTGGTGTCTGCTCTTGGCCTTGCACGACTCTTGGTGAGTCGTGCATTCTCGATACATGGCCCGCCCAGTGCTACTTTACTTCCGCTATGCGTTCCACAACATCAGCAATACTCGACCTGCTTCGCAGATGTTCGTTTTTAATTTAGTCCCGCAACGTCACTACTAGCATAGACTGTTTCATTCGTCTCTATGCTACTTTTAATTTCGAAACCGAAGTCTTAGTTAGTGACAGTTTTTTCCTCATAGGTCATGACCGGTAATACCTATTTATTAAATAATTTTCTCTTGATGCTAATTGCTGTGTTGGCCCTAAGTGTGTCTTGCAGTTTTTCAAAGGCTACCCACGCTAAAGTAATTTATCTTAGGATTTCGCATGTCTGGTTATTCCTGCTGATTCTTATTTCATGGCTCAAATACGTATATTTCTCCACTAGTTCTTCCACTTTGTCTTGAATAGTTGAATGGTTATTGGAGACCGTATTTGTCATAAACTTGGTTTTGGTCATGTTTATTCTGGGGCTTACCTTCGAACATGCAGTCCAATTCATTTAACATATGTGTGGCTGCTCCTAAATTATTTGTGATAAGGACAATGTCAACTGTAAAACAGACATAATTAAGCTTTTCGCCGTCTATTGATACCCCTCTATGGTCCCAGTTCACCATCTTAAAGGCATACTCCAATGCCATTATGAATATTTATAAAAGTGAGGACAATAGGTTTTGGTGTATTCTATAGATTTTTCATTGAGTCTCTTTACGGTATGAAGGTGATCATTGGTACTATCATTTGAACGGAATCCTGCCTGCTCTCTCGGTTGGTAGAAATCTATTTTTTTTTTCAATCTTGATATCACTAACCTAGTGAACCTAGTTCAACAGGCTAATAGGTCTATAATTTTCTAGGTCCTTTCCCCAAAATGATGGTTGCTTGAAACCATTCCAACTCTTGCTGGAAACTTAGATTAAACAACTTCTTTAATTTATTTTATAGCATATCTCCCCATTTACGATAGCTTCCATTATAATTCCATTCTCTCCTGGGGCTTTACTACTTTTCATTTTTCTTAATGCTTGTCGAATCTCATTTACCTACCTTTATATCTGGCATTAGTTCGGAACCTTGTTTCATAATCTTCTTTGAAATGACTGTTTGTATTTCTGTTTATAGTCTGACTATGTCTCGTCTTCAAGTGATATTATTTTATTTTGTTTGTTTCTTAATTTATGATTTTCGCATTTCCCATTCGTTAGCTTTCTACGAACTTTTAGGATAGAACTAGGTAAAACTGTCTACATAGAAACATTTATCTAAACTTAAAATATTTGTTTTCTAGATATTCTGTAACATCCATTAGCCAGATTTTTTAAGCTTATGGTTTAATTTTGTTTAAATCTCTTAAAAACAAAATTAGTTTGCAACTTTTTAGTTAAATTTTTAATTTTCAATCGTTAAAAACCAACTTATTTATTAAAAAAGGTAAAGTAATTTTGTAAATTTTTGCAAACTGAAACAACTACCTTTAGAATAAAGGTGTTTTGATATTATTTAATTGCACGTATCAAAGCTGAGTTGTACTTGGAAAAGCCACATTGAATATCTATTTTGCAATTGTTTTCACGAAATTTTTTATAACTCCGGTTTTAACAATCGGATATAAGTTAACCCAATGGGCAAATTTTGTTTATTCTTTAAAAAAACGAACTTTAATTTTGGTAAAGTTAAATATCTCTAATATTGTTAATAACAAATTTTATGACGGGTTTTCCTGGAACGTGGAAGAGCCTGGTCCCCTCGAAAAATCGGACGTTTACGAAGTCATCACTTTATAGCCCCCCACAAAATTATTAGAAGCTCCGAGATATAGTAAACTGATCACCAGCATCCTTTGGAGATAACTAAACTCATCACCACAGATAGGTAAACTCATCACTAGAATTTTTGCACCAAGGCGCTAGTTTCTAATGCGGAAGATTGCTCTTTACCTGTTACACTTCTCGTTTATGTGGTAATTTATTAAATTTACAAATTATTTTACTCAAATTGCTTGAAAATAGATTTTAGTACCGATTTTTTTACGATATGGCGTATTCGACCTATCTGCCAATCTAAACAGTTTTTAGACCTGAAAATTCAATTGAATGGTTTTCGATAATGAATTTATAATGAAAATTTTTATGAGTATGTGCTGTTTCCGTTTATATCGGAAATAGTGCTCAACTTAACCAATAAGAAATCTATTTCATATGACAGATTATAAATGATTAACACATAATGAGACACATAATTCTGTGAAAACAGGATAGGTACGTGTAAACTTTCCAGTTTTATGTACACCATTGCTTAGTACTGTAG